GTTAGGACTGGATCAGGTGACCCTGAGTTTTTCCTCTCCCCTCTCCTTTCCTCTATCTCTATGCTTCTATATGCCACCATTACACATCACTAACTTTGTGTCTCCTCTCTCCCATAGTGTGTCCTCTCTCTCTCCTTGTACTTTTCTGCAGGTTGCCGTGGTTCTGGAGCTTTACATTTCTGATGAGCAGTCACCGGCCACACGAACCTGCCCAGTATTTGATTGTTGTTTGTTGTGTGCCGTTGCTTTTTTTTATTCTCTCTCTCCTCTATTCACTCACCCCAACCGGTTGAGGCATGAAGGTCACCCACCAAGAGGTCAAAGGTTTCTTCTGTTAAAGGGAGTTTTTCCTCCCTGTTGTTGCCAAGTGCTTGCTCAAGGGGCATTTGTTGGGTTTTCCTCTGTAATATTAATAATAGTAAGGTCTAGACCTTACTTTGTAAAGTGTCCTGAGATGCCTTATGAGATGGCTTATGATTTAATGCTATACAAATAGATTTGAATTTGCATTTATTCAAATTCAAATGTATTTGTCTGACAAACAGTCCCTGCTCAGGATGAATCCATAGGTCAATATTTGGCTGCTGAGTGCCATCATCCTTTTCCTTTCCCTCCATGTCTTAGTCTCCTATGCTGAACCTCTACCAGTGAGTACTCAAGACTAAGAAGTGGAGGGAAAGGGAGGGGATGATCACACCCAGCAGCAAAATATTGACCATTGACCATATTTTTGATTAATTTTTTTCCTATTTAGTGGTCATATTCTAAAGATGTCCCATCATTTATTGTGTACTCTGTAATTTGTTTTATTTAAGTTTTATTTGATCATTGATTTATTTCAGCAGATGTAAATTTCTAATCTGGGGTTCAGTAAAGTCTTAATTCGAAACATTTGATCAAACTATTTTTTTTTTTTCAAATATGGCCATCAAGGCCATCAAAGATGGCTATGTCATGCAGGTAAACAACTTCACCTTTTATTTGCCTTTGTCAAGGCTTATGGGGAAACTCAGAAGAGGCTGAAGATAGCTGAAGAGGATGATTGTACCCAGCAGCCAAATATTGACCCAGGGAGGAATCCTGAGCAGACAAAGTGACAGGGAGAGGTTTTAATAAAGAAATTCATTGTTATTACTTGGTTACTCAAAGTGATATTACAGCAATATATGAAAGTTATTCCATGAAATGAAAGGAAGTGCTGTCTTGATGGACACGTTTCTGTCCCTTTTCATAAATATCTGACAACTGTGAAACTGTTTATCCTGACATCACAACAGAAGACAGCAGACACGTGATTGGTAAAAACAATAAATCTCCAGAAAACAGGATGTGGGGGCGGTGAGGGGCAAGGTGCAAAAAATCTTGACCATAAATAACTCACTTGACAGAAGGGGGATTTTATATCTCTCTGACAAGCAAGTGTAAAAGATTAATAATAATAGCACTTATACAGTGCTTTTCTACCTTACCTCAACAACGTGCTTTACAGATTAGCCCACTTACCCATCCATACACACACACACACATTGATATTTTTATCCTTCCCAGCTACATACATGAGAGGGTTAGAATTATAGAAATATGCCCAGTGTTTGTCTTTTTGTTGTGGCTTGTTGCTTTTCTTTTCGTTTCTCTCCTCTATCCACTCATCCCTACCAGTCGAGGCAGAAGGCTGCCCACCAAGAGCTGGGATCTTTTGGACGTTTCTTCCATTTAAGGGAGGTTTTCCTCCTCAAGTGCTTGCTCAAGGGGAAATTGTCAGGTTTTACTTATAATAGTTTAAGGTCTAGACCTGATTTTGTGAAGTGCTCTGAATTGATTGTTGTTGTGATTTGGCACTATACAAATAAATTGAATTGACCTGAACTGAACTAAACTGAACATAATGTAGGCCAGTACAATGCCAGTGTCAGAAAATTGACATAACCTGTGCAAATAAAGTTGGAACCTAAAATTTAAATGGGGGTGAGCTTATACACCACCCAAAAAGGCAACCCAGTAGGAGTGGCAGGGAAGGAAATGGGCACATGCTCTCCAAGTCTGCACAAAAGAGTTGAAAGAGATCAGTAATTACTTCTCACCACTGCACTCATTATCTCCAGGGCAAAGATTTCTCCGATTCATTCTCTTGATCCTCAGTCGCGTTCAGCCAGGAGTCTCACCTGTGATCAGATATGAACATCAGAGCATCACCGCTGCTGCCAGTGCTGCTGCTGCTTCTGCTTAAAGAGTTTTCCACTGCCAGCAACAACTTCAGCTACATTCCTGGCAACTACAAGCCTGTAATCGTTGTGCATGGAATTTTTAGCGCAGCAGAATATTTACAGAATCTGTCTCATTACATAACCACGGTAAGACATCACACAAGTGCAAAGATGTAGGCTATTAAATAAGTTTCAGTTTGGGAGCTCAAAATGTTTCAGGTTTTGGTGAAATTGTCATAAATTTCTAAATTCAATTAAAGAGACAATAGGTGTGCCAATTAAAGTGTCCATGAGTGTAGTTGTTTATGCATTAATAAACAAAAGGTTTTTTTTATTATGACTATGTTACATTTTATCTAAGGAAATTCTTGATTCTTCTGTCAAACCCTGGACTAGGCATGAATAAAATTTATTTGTGGGCTTTAGAGCTGCAGTAGATCACTTTACAGATTATTCTAGAGGCAGATTTCAACAGAAGTGAAAAAAGAAAGTGATGATTTCTGTACCTCTGTCATTTTCTATTCCTCAAAACTGTTCTGTTTTGCATAGACCTATATGATCCAGGTCAAGGGGATGTTCTTCCAGTGTTCCCACAGAAAAACAGTTTCTATGACATTTTCAATGGCGTTGTGTCAAAAAGGGGATGACATCGTAAACTAAGTTCCTCTGTGTTTAAATCATATGTATTAGTCAAAGAAGATGCTTTATGACCAACTGATTACTTGAAGGCTGTCACATTCTCTAAATCTCTCTCTCTCTCTTATACATGCACACACCACACTGTGTTTTCATTCCTTGTGGGGACTTTACATTAACTTACATTCATTTCCTATAGGTCAAGGTCAAGCGTTTATTGTCATATGCACAGTGAGGAAGCCTGTTTCCCTGTACAATAAAATTCTTAATTTGCCGTCCACACAAATGCCACACAATATAAGAGAAATGTAACGCAGATACATAGGTAACACAAAAACTAAATCTCAAAATCTAAGGCACTGTAAAACTGTAAAAGAACACAATATTATGAAGAGCAAATGTATGCTACATGGGAGCTGTGTGTGCAAATATTCAGCAGTGAGTGTGCAATTATTCATGTGCAAACAGTATGTGGGGTGGAATTATATGACCTAGTTCCTGAGTCAGCTGTTTAGGAGACTGTTGGCCTTCAGAAAGAAAGAGTTTTTCAGTCTAGAGGTCCTTTATTTCACACTTGTGAACCTCCGGCCGGAGGGTAAAGAAGTGAACAGTTCATACTGGGGGTGGGTGAGGTCTTTGAGGATGGAGGCAGACTTCTCCTGTAGACTTATCCTAACCTTAACCAGAACCACTACTTACCTAATACCTAACCTCACCCTAAACCTTAAACCATGCTGCCACCATAAAATTGAGTGATTGCCTTGTGGGGACCAGAGACTGGTCGATGGCCGAGTCCCCACAATGTGTGCTAACGGGTTTTGGTCCCCATAATGTAAGTAATACAAAGGTGCACACACAAATGTTCAGTGCATTAATGTATGACTATTAGTATGCTGTGTTTATTTTCTGGAATTTTCTTGTCTCTCTCTCTCTCTCTCTCTCTCTCTCTCTCCAGTCTCTCTCACATCACGTTAGGGTAAAAAGATAAAGACGACTATACAGCGTAACAAAAAAAAAGCTATCTGACTTGGCTCTAACAACAAAAAGTAAGAATTATTAAACATAGAAACCATCAAGAAGAGCCAAACACTGCAAAACTCACACTAAATGAACTCAATAATCCAATAAACTGCTCACAATGAATATGCTCAATTGATTAAAAAAAAAAAACAGATTATGAAAAAAAAAATGTCAAAAGTCCTCTCTTTAGTGAAGTGTCATGTTACTGTCCGGAATTCTGCACTCTTCTGAAAAATGCAAATACTGCAGACAAGCCTAGAAAGAACTTTGTTTTTAATATTACACCTACAGACTAACAATAAACATGCTGCATTATGAATTTTGTCAGCAATCACGTAATACCTGCCAGGCACTATTACAGCTTTTATTCATCTTTCAGCTACTCCAGTTTTTTGGAGGGTACCACAGTGGATCCCAAAGATCCACATATGTGATTTGGGACAGCTTTTTTTTGCCAGGTGCCCTTCCTGACACAACCGACCCATTTTACCTAATGCTATCTGTAATTTAAACATTTAAACATGTTTTTCTAATCTACCAGATGGAAACCAACATATCAGCCTGTTTGGGAACCAACATGATGACAGAAATAAATAAATAAAAATAAAAACCATGAAGAAACCAAAAGTAAAAAAGTTCACCAAGTGAGCTGTTGTATTTTCAGCTACAACTAAGTACTGCATTTGGGATGTGTGGGATTGATTTGACTTTCAATACACTTGACCCTCTGATACTCCAGCTTTTCTTGAACATGTTTTTCTCTGTATATAAATAAATATGTTTATTCATTCCCAGGCACATCCAGGCACTCAGGTGGAGGTGATTGACTTGTACGACTATGCGCTCAGTCTGACACCATTGTGGGTTCAGGTCGAAGGCTTCAAGAAAGCCATCGATCCCATCATGCAACAGGCTCCTGATGGCGTGCATCTTCTGTGCTATTCACAAGGTCCTCTTTCTCTCCCTGAAGATGTCTACTGTATATATATTTACAAATCAAAATGTCAATTTTTTAAATCTCAGGGTTGACATACAGCTGTGTACGAATTTTCATTTTTTAAATTTTCATTGACAAGCACCGGTGTTACTAGTCTCTATCTTTGTGTCCGTCATGACATTGAGTCTGCATACACAGCATACTCTCCTTGTTTTCTAAGGTGGTGTAATTTGCAGAGCACTTCTCTCTACAAGTCCAAACCACAATGTGAACACCTTCATTTCTCTGTCAGCGCCACTGGCTGGGCAATATGGAGGTCAGGGGTCTTCAATTCACGTTTAAAGCATGTCTAGATAACCCTCATTCTCCTGGCAAAGATGATGACTGTATAGTACTCTCACTTAATTCACCAGAACTTTTAAAACAATTCTAAATTGCAAAATATTGTATTTCTCCACAGACACAGAATACTTGAATGCGGTTTTTCCAGACAAAACTAAGGATGTAGTGTTTGCAGCTTGCTACAACATCGTGGGACAGAATATATCTATTTGCAACTACTGGAATGGTGAGAATGAGGGAGCAGGGTCTGGAAAACCTGCACATGGCATTACCTTTACCCTTTAACAAAACATTCATGTAGCAGACCTACAACAAATGTATGTTTTATCCACAGACCCTCACCACAGGTCCCTCTACTTGAATAACAACAAATTTCTCCCGGTGCTTAACGGTGAAACACCTCACAACCAAATGCAAGGTAAGAGAATGAATAAGCCTACTGTTGTGGCCATGTTCTACTGTATACCTGTGGATGTAAAATACAAGTGTGTATTGAACAAATGAATGGTGTATTTCTCCATTTCACTTCCGCAGCCTGGAGGGAAAACTTCCTCCGCATCAAAAATCTTGTGCTGATTGGTGGACCAGACGATGGCGTCATCACACCATGGCAGTCCAGGTTTCATTGTCGTTTTATAATCCATATGCACGCGCTTTCATTTTAATGTGTCTGTGATAAATAAGCTCGAGTAAGTAAGTAAACCGCTGAGGGGTATAGCAGGTTTTGTATCATATGCTCATGATACTCTATTTCTTTTCTGTCTTAACAGTAATTATCACTCCCAGTACTATGAATAAAATATAGATAAATAAAACCTAATTTTTCTCTTTCCCCAAAACAATTGAATTTCTCTCTAGATATATTTTTAGTCTGAACTAATGTGCCTGAAGGAGGCAGAGCGGGTCACTTCCTAACCGGAGTGTGCTGCAATGCATAGAAAAGCGCTATACAAATATAAGACTATTTACCATGTGTGTGGAATAAATGAGGACAAATTTACAGTTTACAGGATAGGAGTCTTTACATACATGATTATGTCTTTAAGAAGGAATCAGACACATCACATTTTACCAAAACAAAGAAAAATCATCACAAATACAAAAGAAAAACAACTCTAGCATATTTTTTGACTGTAATGAATAAAAATAAACAGAGATCCAATTGATGAATATTATATTTGCATCTGTTTTTTAATTCTTTAGCTTTGATTATGTTACAAGAAAACAATAAACAATAAACAATAGCTTCCTTTAAGTTACTTTTAAACAGGAACAGGAACACCATCTCTGGTTCTCAGGCTGCAATTACACCCTCTACCAATCAGAACATAGAGCAGTAGAACTAATGTATCCTGAAAGGCGAAACCATGTACACAAAAGCTCACTGCTGACTTGTAAACCCTAATATCCATGAATGCATGTTAGCACTTAATTTGACATTTATCAACCTCTCTCTTCTCTTCCCTGGCAGCTTAACAGTCCAAGGCTTCTGCTTAGAAAGGTTTTAGTGACTAAATCAAACTGAAACATTAAAAGTGAGGGAGACAAAAATATGATTCTGAAAAGTGGAAGTTATACCATTGCCTTACATAGATACACAGCTTCAAGGCATTAGAAGAAGTAAAGCTTTCAAAGTGTGCATTGAGAGAACCTTTTCTGGTCAAAATAGCAGCAGAGGTTTTGGGTCCTTGTTACCTGAACTGACTGTTTCCTCTTTTCTACACAGCCACTTTGGATTCTATGACAACAACGAAAATGTTGTAGAAATGAAGGACCAGGAGGTAAGTTGCAAATTAATCTACAGTACAGTAAATATTTCATTTCAACTCTTTCCAACCCTACATCTGCTCCTATTTCTCTACCACAGTGTGTTGGGTAACCTGTCCCGCTCTTCTTCTCTCTCTTTGAAAGTATTATGAGAACGATACATTTGGGCTGAAGACGCTGGATACTCGTGAGAATGTGTCAGTGTGTGTTCAGTCTGGAGTGAAGCACTTAGACTTGCCCAACAACTACACAGTGTTCATGAACTGCATAGGCTGGACCAGAAACTACACAGTGTTCATGAACTGCATAGAGAAGTGGCTCACATGAAAACCAATCACCTACAGAGTGTCAGAGCTATTCATGACTATTTGATTATGTTGAAATAGATCATGCTTGTGCAGAGATTTGCAGATGATTGATGTTTTATGCATTAATATGTTGGGAAGATTGTCTGAAATTGGGTGCAGCTCTTTATTTTCCCAACCACTTGAATTTTGGTGATACCTTGTCATCAGATGTTTTAATTTGTGTATGGAGATAGGAAACCTTATAATCATTTGCTTCGCAGCAGCATGTTAGCACACTCAAAACTTAAAGCACCACTGTACCTTATGTATTGGACATTTATTGATCCTTTTAATAAAATCTGAAATGTTGTGCAGTGAATCTTTGTACAAAAGTCATTTTCTGCATTGTTATTGGTACGTGTGATTTTTTTAAAATTTACATTCAACCATTACCCAAACAATAAAACTTACAGTCTAAGTTCCACATGTTCCTTTCACAAGTTACTCTAGGCTGTTTTTGAAAAGGCATTGTTAGAAATGGTTGATGCTACCCACAAAGCATCACTAATAAATCAACAATTACTTTATAGTGTTCAAGGTTTGTTCTCAGTGTGTGAACAATAAAACAGCTTTCAGGGGAACTCACTTTTTCATGGTCAGACTAAATGACAGATACAACATCTATAAAGCAAATGAAAGAAAGTCACTTTCGGCTTTTCCCGTTTAGGGGTCGCCACGTTTACATTTGGCACGTGTTTTATGTCGGATGCCCTTCCTGACGCAACCTTGATTCGAACCTGAGGTGTAGCAGCGAAAGCGTTGCGCCTTAACCACTAGCCTACCAGGGACGGAACTATAAAGCACATGATTTAGCTTTTTTATCATGATTCCTATTGATCAGAATATGAATAATAAGAATAGAAAAACAGATGACAAGAAGGCGTTCAGCACCACAGAGAACATCAAGGGGAGAGATATTTTACTATGTGCACCCTCCTGTATGAATATGTAGACCCTTGTATTCCTGAGTGTTAGGGGCAGCATGGTGGTGCAGTGATTAGCACTGTCACCTCACAGCAAGAAGGCTCTGGGTTCGGGTTTGAACGTTCCCCCTGTGCCTCGGTGGGTTATCTCCGGGTACTACGGCTTCCTCACCCTGCGTCTAAAGACACGCAGCTTAGGTTGATTGGTGAATTGGCCATAGGAGTTAGTGTGTGTGTGTGTGTGTGTGTTGCCCTGTGATAGACTGGCGACCTGTCCGGGGTGTACCCCACCTCTCGCCCAATGTCAGCTGGGGTTGGTTCCAGACCCCCCATGACCCTCATTAGGATAAGCGGTATAGACAATGGATGGATGGATAGCCATGTTGTACTTTGGAGGTGAGAAGTGTTGATGCAAAAAAGTGAGGAAGCCACAAGAGGGCAACAGAGAAGTGGTAACACTGTTGACTAGGCAAACTTGACTTGATTGAAACTATGTTTGTGTAGAGTATAAATGTTCCTTTGAAAAATTATGTTCATGGGGACAGGCCTTGCTTGCTAGAAGAAAGTTAGAAATTGGCACTATGGCTGCGGAGATGCAGAAAGAAAACCAAGGGGCACTTCAGTACAGCAGCCTACATCTCATTCTCACTGGACATTATAATAGGGCAAACAAAAGATACTTGTGCACACAAAGGGCTGCAGTCGTCTGAAATGTGAGTAGTTAGTGAGAAGTTGTATTTTCATGCTTTCAAAATACAAAGCATTAGAATAAACATGAAATGATAAATTCTAACAGAGGTAGGGATCCTATATTTCCCATCATTTGTTGTGTCAAGAAAGTAAAACACAAATTCATTTTGGCTTGATTAGATCTTGGTATATTAATGATCAAGGGAATTGGCTCTGTAAAAGCATTTCACAGGATTTGTTCAAAGTCCAGATGTTACTATTCAGCAGAATAATGCTAAAAGTGAAAGTCAAAGCCCCCTCAAGGTGTCACAAGGTGTCTTATGCCTGTCATTCTCCATCCATCCACCAGGGGTCCTCACGCTATCTTTTCCTCAGTTGCTCCCTTGCTTACATCTGCCCTGATGTCAGGGCTGATCTTCCAGTTTCCTTGTTATCCTCAGTATTTAGACCTGCAGCTCCCACCTGCTTCCTGTTGTCACATTGCCATATGTTTTTGCTGTGGGTGTAGGTTCTTGCCTGTAAGCCTTGGTTGTTTTTTTCAGCTGCCTCAGTTTGAGTCTTCCCTCCTTTTGCCTGCTGTCCTATTACTGTGACACAGGTGGCACCGAGGAGAGATTTGAGACAAGAATACTGCCTGGGATTAACGTGAGCTAAAGGTCACACTCGTTTTCAGAGTCCTAACTTTCTCAGATGATACCACGCATACATACATGAAACACAAATAAGCCTATATGTTGGTGCTAGCATGTTTTCATCTGCCAGATAACTATTTTTGATGCCATTAAAAGTATAATCAGCAACATGCACAAACGTGTCAAAAGTGCCCATTATGCAGAAACACTGAATATCATTACCTTGTACTTTGCCAAGTGCAGATGATTTTCATTACTTTATAGACCAAATGTGAGTTTAAAAGAAACACTCCTGATACATTTTGCATATAAAATTTTGCTCTGAATTATTAACTTAACTGGCTGAAAAAACTTAGAAAAAATCAACTGGACTAGATTTCCAGGTCGAAGATGTTTCGCCTCTCATCCAAGAGGCTTCATCAGTTCTGACTGACTGGTGTTGAGCCGGAGATATTTATCCCCCTCGGTGGGGTTTCAGTCCTTTGAAGTAACTTAACTGGGACGGCAGTTGGGAAGTAACTTAACCGCTTCATCAGACAGGTAATGTAGTGGAGTAAAAAAGTACAATATTGTCCAGTGAAATGTTTTTATATTATAAAGTGTAGCAGGAAATGAAAATCCTTGTGTAACCTATAAAGGAACATTGCGTTTCCCGTTTTATCAAATGAGGAGTGGAATCGCTACGCTGTATGTCAGAGGCAGATGGGAAATAAGTCTTAAAATGCAAATATCTGAAAATGACCGGTACAGTGTAAACGTAAGGTGCAACAAACAACCAGCAGCTCCACACTATGGAAAGAATTGTTGGAAAAATATAGTCTGATTCTTCATTACTCCTAAGCAGAATTTCATCAACATACAGTAACTGTCATGTTAGAGACTGTGTTATGAGACAAGTGTGGATCAGCCCCATTCTGGGGATGTCTGCAAGTGAGAAGGCACTGGGATGATGTATGGGTTGAACTGAAAGTGATTTTTGCCATGTGCTGATGTAGGAAACCTGACATGAGAAAATATACAGTATTATCAAAGCTGGCCAGACACTGTTGAAGAGATAAACCGTATGAGATAAGGGGAAAATAAACTGTTTACTACACTCAAACCTTTGTATAAATACATGTTGTGCACCTCACTGTCAATGATTTATGTTTATTCTGTAATAATAAAATGAAAAGCAATAAAATTTCAGTAAGGAAAAGGAAATTAAATACTCAATCCACAAGTTTCTTGAGTAACTCGTTACTGTACTTAAGCTATGTAGTTAGTTATGTTCTACTACCTAAATCCAGTCCAAATACTGTAGAGCTTTATGGTTATCAAATAATAACTGGGAGAAACCACTTTGGTAGTGATTTTTTTTTCTTTTCAAATAAACGAGCCTTCATACTGCGTCTACTATTGAAGATGTTTTGCATGACCACAGTTCTACTGTGTATGAATTGTGTATTAATGTATTTTCAGCCAGTGTTCACACGGCTCTCTAAACAGGTATGACCGATGACGTCAGCAAGGTGACACCCACCTCTCCTCTTCTGCGCCGGTGTGTTGTAGCACCGCCCCAGTTCCGTTCCCGGTGGAGATTTGTCTCCGGAAAACTTTTCTCCTGCTTTCTTGTTACTTTTTTGCGCCTTGTTTAGGACACGGCAATGAAGATTCCCTCCTCGTCTGACGGACTTTACCTGTGATCACTTTCAGCGTGTGAATCCGGGAGGACTCCAAACGTAAGACAACGGTGGAAAATACTTTGAACGCTGACTGTGCGTTCATGAAGCCTGTGTTCAGATCCAGACTGAGCAGGCGGTGAGTGCGCACAGTGATAGCCTCTCGCCTGCGTGTCTAAATGTTGTAGCTCCGCTTTGACAGGCTGACGTTACTTCCACATTGAGTCGCTGCACCTTAAAATAGTATCAGACAAGCTATAGGTGACCTGTTGTCCGCCGGATGGTGAAGAGTTTTCATGTGGAAACGTGCTGCCTTGTGGTTGTGATTCGTGGAAAAAAATTACTGCCTTTAAATTATAGCATTCATGCAGTTAAATGTCATAGATTTAGAGAGAATTATTACGTTTATGGTTTTAATTCGCGGTTTCGACTGTTAATAGCTACATGTACAAAGTAACCTTCATTTCCACACTAAATGAATGTGCCAAAATGATGTTATGTCTCACACGGGTCCAATTATTGTAGGATGTCTCATATTTAACTTTTAAAAAGGTGGGGGTCCTGTTGGAGGGACCGAAGAGAACGTTTCATTCAGGGACAGTCTGACGGAATGCACTGTCAGCCTGGCTCAAGGTCGACGTGTCCCGCCCTGTGGGGAGCTACTGTAAACAGCCAGCAGCTGGGACATGCAATAAACCGGCCAAAACATCCATAAAGTGGAAATATAAAACAGAGACGACACAAACCAAAGCACCACTAAGACATTTGACACGTCAGCTGGGCTCAGTCGTGCTCCCCATGACCTGTTTAATGTGAAGAAAGCTGGAAATTAAGTCATTTCCAGTATCAAAGCAGCTTTTCAACAAACAAAAGCCATGTAGACTGCTTTTTTTTTCTAGCTTCTTTCCTATAATCAATCTTGTGAATCAAACTGGGGTCAACCTAAAAAAGGAGTCACAAGATAAATATGAGAGGTCACTAGTGGAAAGGGAGAGGGTCAAAAAGTTATGTCTCCTTCACAAATATAGCTTTTGAACAAAACAATCAGGGGAGAGAAAATTTGTTTTGTTTTGCCACCACATTTTGTTGTAGGCTGGAACTAACGGTTATTTTCGGTATCGATCAGTCATGTCCTGACTGCTTGTGGGTTCCTGATCCCTGGTTGTAAATTGCTGTAAACACATCCCTGTTTTTTTTTGCTTTTATTCACAGACACTTTTCAGCATCTATCGAATAACAAGCAGGATAGCATCAGCTCTCTGCACGATGTCCTCTAGAGGTAGAACCGACTTGTGCCGAATATGTGGTGGATCTCTCCAGGGAAACCAACGGCGGTGGCTGTTTGGGGGCCAAAATAAGAAGACGGGTCAGCCTCAGACCCCGACAGAGTCCTTGAGAGGAGGAAGTCTGTCCCAGTCCACACAGAGTGGCCTCTGGGGTGAGTCTGGGGCATAATGTTGCTGTCAGGCAGAAACATTGTACGTACATATTTTGTCTTTTTTCATAAATCAATGCTTTATGTCTGTCTGTGGGTTTTACAAACATTTAACCAGTAAAAAGCAAAAGCAGAAGAAGGGCTTTTGACTAAATCTCATAGCTCTGTTGGATTCTGAAACTGTCGGTAAAACCTCATGTGAGCTTGATTTAGGTAAAATATTAGTTATGTAATGACACACGCAGGTAAGTGACCATATATAAAGACACAATACCAACTTTGGCTATGTGATGATGAATTATTTTAGATACACAGGGTTATTCATTTGCTGAAAAGTAGCGGTTTTGGAGATACAAGGTTTCTGTCTGACAGCGAAGATAAGAAGATGGAAGATGTTTGCCTGTTGAAGCATCTGAATTAAACCTATTTTGCTCTTCACAGGCAGCACATCATCTCTGGGCTCCCCAGCATCGCTCTCAAAGTCCCAGTTGTCATTGAGCACCACGTCCAAAGGAGTGGATCTGCTCTCGGTGTTGAGCCACATCTTAGGGCAATCTGTACCTCGAGGTGGCGGGCAGGGGGAGTTTGTGTGTGGCAAATGTGTATGCGTCCTTGAACGGGTGTTCAAGTTCGACTCAGTGATAGCCAGGGTGAAGGTGCTTTCATCCGAGAGGCTTCAAAAGCTCATGCAGGAGAAGGACAAAATCAGACAGTGGGTGCGCCAAAACTACCACCAGAGACATCCGTGGGAGTTCCAGAGCAGGGACAGCACCAGCGAGGAGGATGGAGAGGCAGAGAAGGAGGGCTACAGGGATATGCTTAAAGAGAACATGGCACTCTCAGAGTATGAGTGCTGGTCCGAGAAGTGGGACACATGTCCGTATTTTGTAAGAACAGGCAAAAGATGCAGAAAGGGCAAAGGATGTGAAGGCTGCGATTCCCTGCGGGTGTCGGACTCGGCTTATGAGTCAGTTTGTGGTGTTCCTCGCCACTTACCTTTTCAACCCTTTTCCCCTTTGGCGTTGTCACGAAACATATCCCGGAGCATGCCCCTTAACTGGCAGAAGGGGTCGTCCAGCAGATCCAGCCCGGCTTCACTGGCAGGGTCCAGCCTCTCCTTAGGAGCATCATCCCGCACTGTGTCTATTCAGTCTCTGGACTCTGATGATGGCAATGACCCATTTGACTCTCCAGGTGATCAGTCATTCATCTTTTTGCTGAAGGAGCTGAGAAGTATTGAAGGGAAGGCGGTCAGCTCGCCTTTGGGGAGTAGGATCCCAGTTCTGGGCAGGAAGGACAAGAAGTACTCAGGAAAAACTGGAGTGATGGTGTCACCCACAGTGAACAGGGAGCTGAACTATGGGGATGTGGAGAATGGAGAGGATGAAATGGGTGATGAGGATGGGGATGTTCTGACAGAGCTGAGAGACGAGTTCATGCCTCTTCATGGAGAGGTGAGTGTTCTCATTCCTGTCTGAGCGTGCCATATACACCCAAAATGTACCTGATGCCTTGTGTGCTAGTGGCTGTAAATATTGACACAGTGTGCTGCAATAGTTAATCCGGGAGCAACTGAGGCCAGTTCAGTAGTCTAACAAGATTTGAACTAGACGTTTCACTTATGTACACTAATTCCACAGCCGCATGTTTACTGTGAAACTGGTTGTCATTTCAGAGCACTACTGGCAGGGTTCACCACGCTGTTAGGCACCTGCGAGGCCAGCTGGACCAAGCTGTGTCCCGCATCAGGACCCTGGAGGCCGAGCTGAAACATGGGAGGAGCAAACCAGCTGAATTCAATGGATCAGAAGACTGGGCCCCTGTAGGTGTTCACTTTGTTCTTTCACATGCTCCATCTGAGACACTTTATATGTTAAGTTTGACATTTTTGAAAAAAATGATCCTTCACTTTCTTGCCATCCAGTTAGTGTAGCTTGGCATAAAGCCTGGAAGATAATGGTTCTACCCAGACATAATTCATCTGTCTACTAGCACCTCTAAAGCTCACTCAGTTAACTTGTTATAACTTGTTAGAGCTCAGATAAGAAATAGTCCAGTACATAACCTCTCAAAAAGTCATTGTTGTTTTTACACTTCATTTTTATTAATTAAAAAAAAACAAGATATAATTTTAGCTTTAAATTTGCTAGTAGGTGTGTTTTACTTCCAGACAGAGCCCAGTTAGCTGTTTCTACCTGTTCCTAGTCTTTGTGTTAAACTAACTGGCTGCAAGCTATAACTACAGATTTAATAAACAGATGAGAGTGGTATCAGTTAGAGCTGCAACAATTAGTCAAAATTGACAAAATTGCCATTTATTTTGATCATCATAATTGCTTTACTAATCAAAAAGTTAAATATTTGCTATTTCTAGCTTCTCAAATATGTGGATTTGATGCTGTTCTTTGTCACATGTCACAGAGCATGCATTGTCTTTTTCTCTGGCAATTTATCGGCAAAATTAATCAATTGGAAATTAAAATTAAATGATTATAATAATTTTTATTGCAGCTTTAGAATCAGTTCTCATCTAACTCAGCAAGAACTATTAAGTGTGTGTATATATACAACCCCAAATCAGAAAAAGTGGAGACGGTATGTCAAATCAAAATGGAAACTGAAAACAGTGATTTGTAAATCATCTGTGTCCTGCATTACATTGAAAACAACACAGCAGCACATTATTTGATGTGACACCTCATGTTCAAAATAAACACTTCAATTCTGATGCCTGGAACACATTGCAAACAAAGTTGGGGCAGTGAAGCATTTACCACGGTGTGATGTTTCCGGAACACTTAAAAGACGTTTAGTGACTGAGGACACAAAGTGATTCAGTGTCTCAGGTGTAATTTTGTCCCATTCTTTACTGCAAACAAGTCTTAAGGTGCAACAGTCCTGGGTCTTTGTTGTCACAATTTGGGTTTCAAAATGCGCCACATATTCTCTATTGAGGATGGGTCCGTGCAGACAGGCCAGTCCAGCACTCGCACTCTTTTCCTCCACGGCCAGGCCTTGATAACGTGCACAGTATGAGGTTTTGCATTGTCTTGTTGAAGTATGCATGGGCGTCCCTGGAAAAGATGTTGTCCTGAAGGCAGCATATGTTGCTCCACAATCTCTGTGGTTGTTCGGTATCAATGGAGCCATCACAGACGTGTAAGTGACCTTTGCCAAGGGCACTGACACGACCCCAGACCATGACAGACTCTGGCTTTTGGACTTGTTGCTGGTAACAGTCTGGATGGTCCTTTTTTTGGTCCATTCCGTCCAAAAGTACAGATTTGTCTGACCACAGTGCACATTTCCACTGTGCGATGGTCCATCCCAGATGCCTCTAAGCCCAGAGCAGTCGATTGCGCTTCTGGACACTGTTGACATAGGGCTTCCTTTTGGCACAGTACAGTTTTAGGTAACATTTATGGATGTAACTACGTACTGTAGTGCCTGACACAGGTGTGCTGAAGTAATCCTGAGCCCATGTGGTTATATCACTTATAGAAGAGTGATGATTCTTGATCCAGTGCCATCTGAGGGATCACAGAGCACGGTAATCCAGCTTAGGCTTGTGCCCTTTACACACAGAAATCCCTCCAGATTCCTTTTAATTATTTTATGCACCATAGAAGGTGACATGTCCAAATCCCTTCCTGTTTTTCTTTGAGGAACATTGTTTTTAAACATTTCAGCAATTTTCTCCCCATATGTTGGCAGCATGCCAATCCTCAGCCCATCTTTCCTACTAAAGGGCTTGGCCTTTCCTGGATGCTACCTTTGTACCAAATCATGATCACAATCACCTGTTTCAAATGGAATCATAATTTCTGGCCCTGAAATGCAGCCATCCCAACATTTTTTGCAATGTGTTGCAGGCATCAGATTTGAACAAAGAATAAATTTGAGGTATTACATCAGATAATGTGCTGCTGTATTGTTTTCAGTGTAATACAGGACACAGATGATTTACACATCACTATTTTCAGTTTTAATTTTGATTTTACATACCATCCCAGCATTTTCTGATTTGGGGTTGTAAAAAAATATCTAAAAATTAAAAGGGTCATTTGGTCAGTTTTATAATAATAAAAAAAAAACTAAGGGGAAAAGGACAGCACTCCTCTAGAATAATTCATTTATGCAGAGCACATACAGTATGTTTCGAGCAGTAGCCCTTCCTCAGTGTGCAAACAAACAAAGGTGTGATTCACTACATACTGATGATCCTTATGGTACAATCCAACCCGGCTCTGTCTCCAGAGGACCATTACTGCACGTTCTTTGTCTAACAGTCAGGAGTCTCCCTGTTATTCTTAAATATACGTACATGGCTTAAATATCATCACAAAAGACAAAACCAAGTAAATTCTTGTTTAGATCAGAAGTCACTGGAATATACAAGCGAACGGTCTGTAGAAACAGTTTGTTGTGCTGCATTGTGTCATATACAGTATATCACATACTGTTGATCGCCTGTGTGTAATGAATCACACTGTAGTCTGTTTGCACACTGAGGAAGGGCTACTGCTCGAAACATACTGTATGTGCTTTATATAAATGAATTATTCCAGAGGAGTGCTGTCCTGTTCCACTTCTAAATACAACAAATATGAAAAAGTTAATTTTAGAACAAATCAGAAATGTCTATATTTAATAAGAATCTAAAAATAAGATAAATATAAGTGGATAATGTCACTGTCCACTGTGCTACTGTCAGTGGAGATGTCACTGGTGTTATGTAACTGATGTGTACCCACACACTTGTTATCTTTATCAGCTGTCCTAAGAGATAATTGTCTCAAGAAAAACAGGTCTGTTAAACACGGTGGCACTGGGCAGCAGCTCCTTTGTCACATGTCCAAACGGCTCCATGAACCACTCTGTGAATGTAGCAGTATAGCATAATGGAAGGAATGGAGGGTGGTTCTACTGTGTTTTGTGTCTGTGGAAGGGTGTGCCTACATTTCCTCATTTACAGGTGCATATATACACACACACACACACACACACACCCTGTCTATCTGGAATCTTCTCCGACCAGTGGAGTTTGCCCTTAGCTCAGTAGTCTTATGATAGCAGATATCATTACCAGGCCTCTCAGCTGAGTCCAGGTGATGTGAGGGAGTCTCAAAATGAGCAGACTTGAGTATCAGTAAGCGTTATTGAAATAATGTGATCATAGCAGCAGGTTTAAACTTGCAATAACTGCTTCTTGGCTGCTTGCCAGCAGCAGAAACAAGTTGCTTACTTATACCTCCAGCAGTAAGAAACATGATTATGCATTTGGAAGTGTCTCTGCATACCCAGTGAACATTCATTATTTACTCTTTTAGCTCTGTATTTTGGCCTCTGCTATCCTCTGGGGGAGGTGTCTGTTATTTGGCTAATAAGTGTGTCACTGTGTTCAACAGCCAGTTGCTAATTCTGTCTGACATTTGATGTTGGGCAGGTAGAGTACAGCTGGTTTTAGAGCTTGTCACTGAGAACACCAGTTTGCTGCTAAGATTGAAAACAAGGTTAATGAGAGTGTGTGAACTCAAACCCCAAAGCTGCAGGTTGTAAAATTAGAACAATGAGCTGAAAGACGCTAAAAGTCTCTGTCGAGCTGAGGGAGGCATTTTTAATTTTTCTGAAACTAATTATTTGACCAATTACAGTACTGTAATTATAATCAGTTAATTGGCTAATAGTCTGTCTATGAGAGAAAATATTGAAAGTTTATTGTTATAACTTCCCAGAGTCCAAGATGACTCGCGTTGTCCTACAACAGTCTAAAGCCCAAAAACATCCAGTTTACAATGATAAGCAGCACATACCGACATCTGAGAAGCTGTGACCAGTGACTGAGGTTTGTGCTTGAAGAGTGGATGACATGATTAGTTGATTGATTGAATTTCTATTTGACTAATTGATTCATTGGCTCAAATGTTAATATTCTTCAAAGTATCGATAAAAGTATTGCTTTATCATTGGCGAAGCTTAGGTATCATTTATTAATCAGTTAGTAGATGGATAAAGATTATTCTATAAGAAAAAAATTGTTATTGGTTAATACTTAAGTCATTTTTAAGCAAAATCCCATTCAACTGACGGTTTCAGGTTCTCAAGTGGCAGAATTTGCTGCCTGTTTTACTCTTGTAGTAAATGTAATATTTATGGGTCCTGGGCGGTTTGTTAGACAAAACAAGACATTTAATAATGTTACCTTGTGGTCCAGAATTTTGTGATGTTTTAAAGACCAAATGATTAATAGATTCATTTAAATATGGCAATAATAGTTTCAGCTCTAAAACCCAGCTTGTGTTTCAGTAACATCACAGTTTGATCTGACTTTTAAAGGAAACCAGTATATATTTTTTTCTCCTCTTCCCCCAGCTGGTCAAGGAGAAGGGCGGCAATTCCCTGCTGCAGAGCCTTACTCACTCCCTGCACAGCCGGGAGCGTCTGATCCAGGTGGGTGAGGTGATGAGGGGAGACGGGCTGTAGTCATGCACACTGCAGTGGGATCACTTGCTACTGCTGTGGCGCTGGGTCAAAGCTCACTGGAATGTTGTTTGTCTCTGAAGTCACTGTTGCCCTTAAAGTGACAGAGCCTAAACTGCTTTCACTTTGTTTGTTCATCAGCCTTGCTTGTGACTTCCCATTTTTAAATTTCTTGTTATTGATGATATACAGCTGGAAATGTCAGTTATTCTGGATGTGTGTGGTTCAGTAGCTTAAAGGCTGAAGCACATTGGACTAGAAAGATGATCCAAAGACTTTCTTTTTAAAACCAAAGGTTGCTTGAATGAATTATAGAAAGTGGCTCTATAATGAAGTCCCTGTTGCATTTTACCTGTATTTGTTAAAGTTGTGAAACTTTTACTTGTGAAATATGTTTATTTGTTTCTTATGAGAGGTGGATGATAAGATCACTCCCACTCTCCTGTTTGTTAGCATAGGTTAGTATAAACACTGGAAACAGCCTGGCTCTGTCCAAAGGTATCCCAATATGATGGGTTAATTTATAAGCTGTAGAGGTGCTGATAGACAGATTTCATTACCTTTGCACGGAGCCGGACTACTGTAGTTATTTCCCCCTGTTTCTAGTTGTCTTGCTAAGTTAATTACCTGGTATCTGTCATATATATACAATGCAAACCTAGTTTCTATGAGTGTTATCAATATTTTTATCTAACTCTTACCAAGATAGTGTCTTTCCCAACATGTTAAAATATTTATTTAAAATATGTAAATACTCTAGAAGTAAAAATAATCTGCTCATATGAATCCCTTATAATGAAAGAGCAAATGTATCTGCAGCATTTGTAAGAGTATGGTTTCCGTTGTCCTTAGACCAACAGCGTTGTCTTCTCTGAACTCCCAGTCTTTAAATAGATATGAGCAGGTTTCAATGGATTTGAGCTGCTAAATGTGGCTGCCTGTTTTATTGGAACATTAGATTTATGATGGAATTGTCTGATGTTTGCATTTCAGTTTTGCTATGGCTTCTGTATGAAGACATGTCTTGGGTTATTATGGCCCTGTGTGTTGATTCATGCATGAAAATTGCTTCATAAACTTTGCATCTAACATAAATCTGCCCTTGGATAAACCCTAAATCTTTAAACCCAAGTAAATATGTACAAATTAGATCAATGCTTTCCCCATAAAGGTGCTGTTACATGTGTGTTTGCTATTTTGCCCTAAGCAGACAGGTATGTCCTCTCTTGCAGGAGTGTATGGGTCTGATCAGAAGACTGTGTTTGGATAAGGGAGCCGGGAGTGAGCTGGCAAACAAGCTGAAAGAGAAACTAGCTGAGAATCTGAAGGAAATTCTTTCTGACAACAAGGTCAGAGTTGACATTGTCCTTTGTCACCCTGACATTATGTGCTTACTGCTGGATCTGCTTATGGTAAAACATACCATATTACCCCCTCACTGAAGCATAGCAGTTATCGGCACATGCAGACAGACGCACCTTTGCTGGTAGTAGCTGAACTCAGTCCTCCTGTCCTTGAGGGCTTTTTTTATTAGCAGTGCGGGTCATGTGATTTTTTTAACCTACAAGGAGTTTAACCAGACCAGCAGTAGCATGTCAGTGATTTCTTCTGACCCTGTGGAGAAGTCATGGTGGAAATCGCACACTGTTTTGAGTTAACTTTGTTGTTTCTGATATTAAATCACATTAACATCAACACTTCATAAGGATTATGACTTGATAACTTTAGAAGTTTTTTAATAAGTGTTGGCGCTTTACAGAAACAAAGATCAACAGAGACTAAAGCTATAAATTCTCAGACCAAAGTTACAAATGCCAGTTTATAATTCCTCATAGCCTAAGCTGATGTCTATAAATGTCATTGTTCTGTCTGACGTCAAAACCCAAAGATATTCTCTTTATAATACTCCAAAACAGAGTAAAACTTCAGATTCCCACATTTGAAAATATGGAATAGGACTTGAAAAACTACTAAAATGATTAATTAAATATTAAAATGGCGGATCTATTTTTTGATTGAGAATCCATTAACTGACTAGTTGTTGCAGCTCTATTTTGTAATGCAATATAATATAAGATTACACTGCTCATTTTCACAGGGAAAAAGATAAATATTCACCCTTATTGTGTGTTAGTCATTCTCTAATTCATATAATTAGTTTTTTGACAAATCAGAGTTCACAGATGGCACTGCTCATTTTCATGGGGAAAAAGATAAATATTCACCCATATTATGTGTTAGTCTTTCTCTAATTCATATAATTAGTTTTTTTGACAAATCAGAGTTCACAGATGTAGTTAAATGTAATTTCGATGTCTCATATGTAGATATAACATGTTCTGTGTTAGGCTGCTCTGGCGACTTTGAGATCTGAAATGACTGAGAGAGAGAAGGACATGGAGAAAGAGATTGAAGCACTGAGGAAGGCTGGGAGAGACCGGGAGAAAGACCTCGACGCGCTCAACACAGTGCTGCAGTGCAACCAGGATGTTATCAATGTAGGAGCACAAACACTTGAAATCATTGGTGTTATTGCATTCACTGTGGTTCAGACACACCTACATCTTTACTACACCCAGACACTGTGTACATTTGTACTCTGCCCCAAGAAAACTTACTTCCCGTTAAAATTTGATTTAGATTGACCCATGTTTTGCGCTTGTTCCAGGACCTGCAATCGGCTCTGAGGGAGAAGGAGCAAGTGTTGAAGGATGTGGAGAAAGAGAGGGAGGTGTGGAGACAGAGGGACCGGGCCCTTGCTGCTGTGCTGCAGGAGAAGGAAGCTCTGGTCCAATGCCTCAAGGAGGAGGTGGACATCTGTCATAAAGATGTGGAGGTATTTGGTTTCTCAGCCTACACACAGGTCCCCTGCTTTATAGTTAGAAGTATTCCTGTACTTTAGCCACAGACTTAACAGGACAAACTCAGCTTGGAAGAAGAGTTTTCTGGTAGCTGAACTATGACTGGTATAAAGTGACATAAGTGTTCATTTGAGCTCTTCTTCTTGGAAAGTTACAGAGCTTCCATTCTCTGTTTTATTGAATGTGAAGTCTGTTGTGTAGACTCAGTCCTTCTGGTCTCAGGCGAGGTTCGTCAGTAAAACTGACTTCAATGACCACAGGGAAACTTTTAACCATAACATGTCATTTTCCTCCAGGCTCTCTCTGACTCTGGGACTGGGCAGGCATCGGCAGGGAACAGGGCTGAGCTGGCAGCCTTGTTGAAGGACAGAGAAGTAAATGGCGCCGCCTTGTGCCAGCAGGTGACCAAACTCACCACAGCCCTGCAGGAATACCAGGACATGGTGCAGGTGAGGTATTAGCATGAGGAAAGGACTTTAAAATTGTATCTATCCACCTATATGTTATTTATACTGCTCATCTTGTAGAGGACAATGAATTAGAGAACTGAAGATATGATGCAAAATTTGGCTTCTAGAATTTTTAGGAAAGCTAAAAAGTTCCCAGGTTCTGAGATTTATTTTGCTCTCATGACCATGACTGAATAAGAGTAAAGCTGAAACTGTTAATCAACACAAAAACAATCAGCACATATTCTGATAACTGATTTTTTTCCGTCACTTATCAAGCAAGTATAGTGAGGGGGAGGGATGAACAATCCACCTGTTTCTGGGATGTATGCTTAACTAAGCCAATCAGCTGCTGGCTTATAGCTTTGCATTTATAATACATTTCTCAGCAACAAAGCATAAAAGCCTGTTTGCCAAAATGTCAGACTGTTTAATTGAGCCTAATCTTAAGTGTTAGAAAAGGGGTTAAATTCAGCAGCTGGCAGGGAAAACAGAGAAGAAGCACGGCTGACGGAAATGAAGATAAATTAACTATACAGACCCTGTTGGCTTCCAGCTCCAGCTACAGCACATTTCAGCCTTTCCTTTTTCTTTTCACCAGAAGAGTCACCATCAGATGGTGTCCTCTCTGACGGCTCAACTCAGAGACACTCGGCAGGAGCTGAGGGAGAAGGAGAAGGAGAAGAAGGAGGCTGACAGGGCTTGGCAGAAAATGAGAGAGGACAGAGAGCGAGAGGAAAGGAAACTGAAGAACCACCTGAAGAAGAGAGACAAACTCATAGAGGTAAAGTGCAGGAATCTGACAAGAAAATGGACCAAAAACTCCCGAGTGCCTCCTGCCACAGTAACATTCTTCTAACATTCAGTTTTTGATGGTTATTTTTTAGCTTTTAACATAGCTGCTATGACACAATCAGAAAATACAACGCTTTACTTTTCTTCTTCACTGCTTTTTCTCTTGACCACTGTTTCCTGTTGCTCCTTCACTCTGGCTGGTTTACACTCCTACTCTCTTTTCAAATCTTCTCGGTACCCTAACATTGAATGCAGTATTTGCAGGGTTTGTGATTGGGCCACTAAAGCTCCTGCATTTTAGGAAAGTACTACCCCTCAGCGGGGACTTTTCTTCTGCAGCAACTAAAAGTAGCCTCCCTTTGAAAATTCAGTGCAATCATGCCAATAAGGAACATGGCAAAAACTTCCATGTTAAATGAAAACCAGCGTTTTTGTATTGTAGTAAACTCTTTGAGACCCTGGGCACATATCAACTCTGAATAAATAAATGACTTCCAATCATATTATCTTAATTCATATATCAAATAGCAGTGCACTTCTGTTTGTATATGGAAATGTTTTATATCTCACATCCATCACAGCCTTTCCATGTCCATATCTCCTTTGGTCCTAGCCCTCCCAAAGAAAGAGGAAATAAAAGAATTGCACCGGATTAAAAAGAAAAATAAAGTATCTTAAACTGCATCAAATGTGTATGGATGCAAGAAAAACACATTTCAATAAAATAATACACATAAAACTATAAAATTCAGTAATTTATTTAAAGCTGTAATGATTAGTCACTTTATCAATGAGCCAATTGATTAGAGAATTAATCAGCAGCTACTTTGGTGGTAGTTATTTTTCAAGTAAAACTGCCAAATTACTGATGGCTGAAGCATCTCAGATGTGAGGAGTTTCTTGCTTGTTATGGGCTATTGGTTAGACAAAACAAGATCTCTGACATCATCACCTTGGACTCATTTTATAGAGTTTTTCTTTTTAGGTTTTATAGATCAATCAAATAAAATAATAGCCAAATCCACTGATTAAGACAAGTCATTAGTTGCAGTCCTAAAATGTCCTTCTCCACAGAAATATGTTGTCTCAGGTTCCTAGGTAACTTCAGGCTGTCTGCTGTTAAACCACTGATAACTAAACACTGCTAAATATAAAGTGCTTGTCAGATGTTGTCTAGGTCATTCCAGTAGTAATCAAAATGCAGATTTTGTTGACTGTCTGAAAGTATGGTTGCATTGTAAAAGCAGAAGACGTCTCAGTGTGACCTCTGAAACTCATAGTACAAATGTTTTTATGCTGGTTTGGTTTGGTCCGTCTTTAGTGATCATTAACGTATGTTTTGTAAGGGTGATTCACTGAGTTACCATTGTTTTGCAGAGTGTGCCACATCTCTTCTCCACATACCAACCAGTGACCTGCCCTGCCTCTAAGTTCACTTCTATGTGGATGTTATGATGATAATGCTCTAACTGCTACTGAAAGTAACTGTGTGAACAACATCCCTTTTAGTGTGTGTGATCATCTGAGCTTTAATATCAACACTTGTGATGGTGATTGACTCGGATCTTGATTTTCTTTTTGTCATTGTAGCAAATCCTGTTCGATGCTGAGGAGCGGGACCATCTGTTCAGAGAGATGCAGCAGAACCTGTCGAACAAGCAGGAACCTGTGACGGCCGTCAAACACACACTGTGACACCGTACTGACAAGAAAGTAAACTGCACATGGATGGAGGGAAATGTTTGCACTTTCTGCACCACCTTTTTGCCTCATCAAAATATTTATCATGGTGTACATCAAGTCAATTTATATTTATCTTTCCATGGTTTTTGAGGTTTGCACTTTTACACCTGCCCTGTTCTGGCATAGGCTGAAGAAAAGTTGAATTCCACTTAACTCTCAGGAGTGAATTGGTAATTTCAGACAACACATGCTGATTGTTTTCAGCATGGAGAGAGATGTTAGCTCTAGCTGTATGCTGAATACTTGATTTAAAAGTTATCCGGTGGCTGTATTTTGTTAATTTATGGATGCGGTGGGTCTAGGCAGGGATTAAATTTCATTTCATGGAGTGGGATTGTTGCTGATACAAACATTTCTGAGTGGTACGATTGTTTGTGGACCTGAGTGACACTGGTTATGTCTTTTAGGACAGGTGTGGGTATGATACAAAGTTAAAGTACCTCCCTTTGTTCTATGAAGCTCTTTCTAGTGGTGCTTTATCTTTCTCAGTGCAGATCTGCTGTGTTTGGCTCTCATGCAGGGGAAAACTTAGGAGCAAAGTAATATTTTTAACCATTTTTCATTTTCTTCTTTTATATACTGTACATCTGACCTTTTTGAGGCTATTCTTAATTATTGTCTGTTTACACATTTTTTACTGTTATTCTGGGACTTATTACTACGGACATTTTCTTTCTTTAAGCTCAAGAGAATTAAAAACTCTGATCCAAACAACCGTGTCCACAGATGCTGTTATTTCAAGGACCAGCATTGGATCCTATAGTGACTAAATATGACAGCTACTAAAAATCCACGTTTTTCTTCATTTAAAGTTTATTTTTAAACAATATGTTACTCAAACACACCAGACTCTCCTGGGTAATGCAGCAAGCGTATGGGTTCATGTTATGACTTCCATTTCTGATTATTGCAGCCGTTTCCTGTCATTTTAGCATGACAGGTGCATCTCGGACTACAATACCCATGAGCCTCAGCGGCCATTGCCATGAAAATGAAGAGGTTCTGACTCAGAGCGGACAATTTAAAACGCCATCTTGTTGAATTAGGGAACAAAAGTGCTCCAAAATTATTATGAACACAGACTTGTCCCCATGGATGATTTAGTGAATGGGTCTAGCAGGCACATGTCTAGGGGCCCAAAGTGTCAGGGACCCCCCTCGATTCCCCTGAAAAAAATGTCAGTAAAAGAGACACAAAGAATCACAAAGAGACAGAAAATGACTGAAGAAACAAAAGAAATGTTCGAAAAGAGATACGAGGTTGCTGCGTTCTTTCATTTGTGTTATGGGTGTCTTGCTCTGGTGTACAGGACAGATGTGGAGGGCTTTTACGTTGGCGTTAAGGAGCGCGTTGTCTCATAATCTGTCCATGCTAGTTTGTTTGACTTTTTATCAAAGAACCAGATATTTTCTGACGCACTTGTTTGTGTTCTGTACTGTTGTGTCAGTGTTTCATGTCGATCCAGCTGTAAACGCGCTTCAACCGTCACTGTCTATGGGGAAATAAATGTAAAGCGGTGTTGAATGACAGCACCCCCTGTCTTTTCCTTACGGTCCTATCACCAAACAGCTTTGAGTTTCTAATTACTTAACGAGCTGTTGCTATGGAGCTGATACCAACACTTCACAAAAAGTTTCACCCTGGATGCTTCACAGTGGACACTGCCCCTGAGAGGGATTTATCATATTTACATTTTAGGGGGAAAGTGCATAACAAGGAATGCAGGTCCAGTCGGTTCCCCTCAGCTCTGTCACCATCGGTCCGCGGTCTTGGCGCGATGGGACGGTCCGTTCCATTCTTCGGGCGCAGCGCCTGGTGGGGCAGACTCGGGCCGGGCGGTCCGAGAACTGCAGTCGGTCCCGGAGCTGCAGCGCCGGCGCCAGTTTCATCCCAAAGCGCGCAGTCTGCACATCGGGAACAACCCAAGATAAGATCCCAGAGGGGGATGCGGAATGCGGAGAGAGTCGTGACTGTGTCTCCAAAAATAAGATGTCGAGGCCCCAAACTACAGGAGGAGTGGTGAGAAAAAAGCTCGAGCACAGGAGCATTTTCAGGGGTCGATAGTTTTATTACTCAAAATCATTTCACTTCCTTTTTAACCTATTTAAGCCTTAAAAATCTTTCAAATGAAACAAACCTGGGAATGGAACTTGCTGTGATTTTTCACATTCAGCAGAAACACACTGGCTCATGGGGGCCAGAAGGTTGGAAACCAGTACCCAGCTGACCTTTGTGTGCCAAAACAGAATATCTGCTCTGTGGAAGTTAAGATGTTACTGTAACACTTTGAAATTAACACATTTAACAGAGTTGTCAGACCAATTTTAACTTCTTATAATTTAGGCAGACTCTTTTTTTGTCTTGATAAACAGTGGTGGAAATAGAATTTATAATGCATTAAAGTCCTGCGTGAAAATTTTTACTTAAAAATTGTACATAAGTATAAGATGTGTATTATCAGCAAAATATACTTAAAGTATCAACAATTAAGGTATTTATGCGTATACCTTTGGACACTTTAGTCTATAGGGACTAATCATAAGTCAAGTACATGTACATCAAACCTGTACTATCCCTGTTGCACTTACATTTAGAAATTGTAATTTTACTTCCCTCTCAAGTTCCCCAGTGGTTCCCATAGGACGCCTGTGGCCCTGTTCCCACCCACTAGTCTACGTGAGCAGTGTGCCGAGGTCAGCGTCGCCGTAGCTGGTGAGTACATGCGGAGGGTGCGGGAGGTGGAGGGCCAGCTGCACAGGCAGGCGGGCAGGGTGACCACGGAGGGCATCAGGCTGGAGAGGGAGAGGGGTCACCTGGAGAGGACACTGCGCAGCGTCAGGACTGCTCTGACCATCAACAGCAGGAGCTCGGACAGAAGGACCATGAGGCCATCCACTGCTGAGACGGTGACTTTACACAACTTGGCTGTTATCAGTTTTACTCAGACAGTGACTTTGGGTGTTTAATCATATATAGCCTAGAGACGGAGATTTTTTTCATCCTTATGCTTCAACCCTGAATGTGACCCAGCTTCTAAAATTCAATTTTTTGTATTCACAGTGTGACAGTGTAGCTCACTGAACAACAATGTAAGGCACAGAGAGATAAACTGCAGGCTTTAAGGCGTTGGACACAGCCGATATTTAGGAAAATCAATTCACTGTTGATTGTTGACAGTTATAAAAATACAGACTATCAGGGAGGGAAGGTGTGTTTGCTGACAGGTTTATTCTGTTGCAGGAGAGAGATGGTGCTGATTACTTGCTGTTGTGTGAGAGAAGAGAGCTGGCCGAGTTGAAACAGGATCTCGAAGGAGCACTGAGAAACGCACTGACCCAACTACAGGTGAGTTGCAGCGTTACTGGCTGTCTTCATCTTATGGTAAAGTCTCCTCCTCTCCACTGTCTCCATGCTTCTTCCTGCCTCCCTCTAATTTCGAGTGCCTTTTCATATGATTTACTGGCACTGCCAAAGCCTTCACACACCAACAACCTCCACCCTTCTCTCACCACCATCGCATAGCGTGGGTTCTCTTTTATTGGTATGGATTTCTTTAAGTATATATCTGTAAAATAAATGGCAAACATTTCATGTGCCAAGTCAAATGCATCATAAGTATATAATTGTTGCCAAAGTAATATGTTTATAAACAAGATGATCAGTCTGTATATTTTTGTCCTCCCCAGCTACATACATGAGAGGGTCAGAATATTAGGAACACCTCTGAATACAATGTAGTCCAGTACAACAACACCTTCAACTATGACCTCAATAATAAACATATTGAATTTATGACAATTTCACCAAAACCTGAAATATTTTGAGCTTCATAAACACATATGTTAAGGTAGAACTGTTGCATTGCATTGCACACAATTGTACAAAGTTGAAGTACTAAATGTTATCTGTCATTTGCGCAGTTTGAAATGTAAAGAATTGTTAAATCAGAAACTTAATAGAAAATCAGCTTGGCATTTCACAGTTTAACAGCTTCATCAGAATCCCACAGTTATCTCATCAACATCAGCACACATGTATCCTGTGAACCCCCTGTCTCTTCCAGGCCCTGGGTGAGCGCAGCAGACAGCTGCTGGACCTTGCCAGTGAGAGGGCTCGTGTTCTGGAGCTGGTGCCTCACAGCGGCTCTGCTGGAGGCCATGGCACCGCTCCTCAGACCTTTGCCAAAGCAGGCCCTGTCAGCCCCTTTACACCAGGTACACTCAGGACAGATGGGAAAACTGTATTAGTCCCTGGAGGCAATCATACTGCTGCAGGAGGAAAAACAGCCCGAAGAAGAAAAGACAAATGAGTGCAGTACACTGAACTCTTCTTACCTATACAGTATATATAGGAAATACTTTGGCTATAGTGTTAATAACACTGAGTCTACAGCCATGCTAGAAGCTGTACTTGGGGACAATAGTACATGCTCAGAATGATTCTGCTGATATGATGGCGTTTAGCAGGTATAACATTTACCATCTAAGTTTTTACCATGTTAACATGACTTCCACAGTTCCCATTAACTGCCTTCCCTGTTAAGGACATTTGAGACAAAAATTTCAAGCTGGAAGGACTCTGATATGTTGTTATAGCGTTTCTTGCATTATAGGCATCAATTAGCATCATTTTTAGATCCCCAAAGGCTTAGAGGAACCCGGGCTACTGGGAGTTGCCACAGGGTTCTGGACCCTACTTGTCACAGATGCACAGGTCTCTTGTCTTCTTGAAAAAAAGAAAAATCAAAACTCCACCATGGCTTGTTTGAATTAAAGAAGAATGTTCACATCGATGCTTTGTCATCCTGCAGAGTGTAAACGGATTTTAGAGTCATCCACTTTGACAGTCAACCAGTCACAGCTGCTCCGAGAAAACATCAGACAGATGCTGACCAGCGCCATCGCCAGGCAGAACGCTGCCCACCGTACCGTCAATGATGGCTTGGTGAAGAAAATTGCAGAGACAGTGGGTCTGCAGGTAGATACAAATACAGTGTGTTCAGTATTGTAGCATGTAATACAGTAATCATCTTCTGATATCAGAAAACAGTTTCCATTTCATTCTGTCTTCTCTAGCAAAACCTGACTGTGATGTCTGCAGCCACCAGGCAGGCCATGTTTCGCAAGCAGAGGGAGATCAACTGTATTCGTCATAGCCACGACAGAGCGCAGGTCTGTGTGCATGTGGAACAGGATCAGTGAATTAATTTGGGATTCTGAGATAACGTGCACAAGGTGATGTTTTCTGTTAACAGGGTCCGGAGTACAGCGGCGACATCCTGTCCAGAGAGAAGCTCAACAGGCCTCTGGTGCAGGTTTACCAGAGGCACCCGGGGACACAGTTACTTGAGGCTGCTCATCTTGTACAGGTGTGTACTGCTTCCAAAATGTCAAACACACTCAGGAATGAAGGTGACACAAATGTGGCTACCATCATCTTCTTCATTGCTACACTTTTAGGCACCACAAGAAGCTGTAAACACTGACATTTTCACCTTATATAGCCAATATGGTGAACGTGCTAATGAACAGTTACTTACACATGCAGCAGGTACTTTAGTATTAATTTGGAGTCATGTTTCTAGATACTAAATGGTTGTTGACTTTTAGCTCTATCTTTGTTCTCCACCAGCTCCTTAGCGACTTTTTCACTGAAAATTATACCGATGAGAGTAGTGAGACTGAACCAAAAGAGTTCAGCTGTGGGTCATGAAAGCAAAAGATTTGCCCTAAAAGACTAAAAACACTTATTGGAACTGAGAGGAGCTGCAGAGTTGGGGAATAGCTCTCTGTAGGTCACAGTGAGCAACACTTTTCACATTACACATAAAATACTGCAAATATTATTAGTGCAGCTTTAATATTTACAGCTACATCACTGTTTATTCTTTAACAACTTGGTAAACTTGTAAACCTTTTTTAGAAATGGCTTCTGACTGGTTTATAACTTTTAATAATGTAGTAAAAATTTGTAAAGCAATTATTTACATCTTATAAAATATTAAGTATTTCATTTTTTATCAAAACTACTAAAGGTCATAAACCTTTCAGGGAGGTGCACTGCAGATAACAATCTGGATGAGTAATCTAAGCCAAACAAAAACTGGGAGTTGTGTCTTGATTCTGTGTGAGTGCTGTTCAAGGCTACATGGGCCAAAAGAAAACCGAAAACAGGCACTGACTTGAATCCTTCCACTGTTTTTTTAAACTATGAAGAGCATGTCTTATAAATAAAGATAGCACATCCTATCAGCTTCTCTACTCATGTATGAAAATAAAGATAAACACAACACACACCAGGTTCTCTTCATATTCTAATATCAGATGTTCACACCATTATGTTAAAAAAAAGCCGTCAGTGGTTTAACACTAACCTCCCATTTTGCCACCTGCTAAGTGTCACAAACAAACCAGACTAACTGTGCTTCCTGTGTGTGTCTCAGGGCAGTGCGGTACTAAGGCAGTGTCTAACATCCTCTGAAGATGAGCTGGCGAGGCTGCAGCACACCAGTCTGCAGCTGCTAGACGACCTGCAGGGCAAGAGAGCAGCAGCTCAAGTGGACGCAAGTGTGGTCCGCATGAGGCGTCAGCAGGTCGACAAGAGAGCCGTACCTTGTTTCCTCCAGCAGGGGGCGTGCAGAAGACAGCTCCCCTTGTCCTCTATTGAGTAGAGCTGCAGCAAGCATGAAAGTATAGAGATGCTGTTGTTAACAGAGAGAGCAGAATATACTGGTTCATAAATAGTAGGGTGGAATAAGAGCTGCACTATAAGGTCATATGTATATGGACACCCGTGTTCTCTTATTCATGGCTACTTTAGGGCTGTTTTTCATCGCATACTGTAACTATTCAAAGGAATAATATGGCAACAGTCTGGATAATTTTTTGTCCACATACTTTTGGTCACCAGTGCATCTTTCTGTACACATTTTCTCTTTTCCCCCTTTGGGCAGCAACATTTTAGATAGAGATATTTAATAAAAGTTAAAACTAAGTGGTGACAAGTAACAATATGCGCAGTATTGGAAACTCTACACTACTTGGCTGGACAGAGGGCACAGCCAAGTTGTGAGGATTTATCAAGTGACTTGACAAAGGTTAGACAAATGCAATAAATAATGAAAATCACTTTTAATGACCTGTGTTTATGTGACTGACATCATCTTAATTTCACTGATGCAGCAAACCCCAGCCAATTGTTATTTAGTACTTGTATATAATCATGTAAACATTTCATTGTGGCCTAATGATTTTTACTGCAGGCCTGAATGGCTGAAAACCAGGGGAAAAAAAGAACGACAGATATTACAACAGATGGTGTCTAATATGATTTAGCAAACAGGACTGTCAAATTCTTCCATGAAAACTATAACTATTACCTATCAATCTAATGTATTAGGATTTATTTTTAATATATAAACTGGCAAACCACCCATTTTGTCAACCAAAACAGCTTTAAAGACCAAAACTTAAAGTTAAAAACTCTGGCAGTTTCTAGTTATGGGACTACAGGTCACTTGACAACTTAATGTCTCTCAGTACGATGTGATTTAATAAACCTGCCCTGTTTTTCCCTTACACAGGCCACATGTCATCATTCTGTAAATAATAATAATGACATGAATGTGTTTAAAATGACCTGTTTTTCTTTTTTTATCTAAACTAGAGTAGTTTCCTCCCAAGGCTCTATTATTGAATGGGACTGTTCTCTGCAGAACAGTCACCAGGAAGCCAACAGACTAACTGAATCATAGTGCTGTGGAGATGCTTGGAGATAATTAACAGGAAATCTCATGAAACCAGAAGAGGTTTAACCACATATCTCTGCAGATGGACCAGAGCCTGGATACAGCTGAATTTTCAACAGGTTCCTGGTGTTTGAGGTGAAGGCAGCAGGCTTGTTCTTGAAAATGACAGGACAGAGAGGATGTTAAGAGCTGAAGAATCAAGCTGCAAGAATATTTTCTTCCTGTGAGACAAAAACAAGTCAGTAAAGCAGGAGCTGGTTTGCCCTCTGCTTGTCCTTTGTAGGTAAAGGAATAAAGCATGTGTACAAAGCAATCAGTTACAGGGCTGCAACTAACCATTATTTTTATCATTAATCTGCTCATTATTTTCTCAATAAATTAATGGTGTGGTTCATAACAATGTTAGAAAATAGTAAACATTGCACATCAGTATCTTAGATCTCAAGATGACCCATCTTAAAATTATTTTGATTTCAAAGATTTTTTTAAGACATAGAAATGCAACAAATCCTCACATTTGAGAAGGTGGAACCAGCAAACGTTTGGCATTTTGGTTTGAAAAACTACCTAAACAATGAATTCATTAACAAAATAGTTGCCAGTTTACCAACTAAATGCTTCAACTTTAGCTGATATAGCAACAATGAAGCTTTGTGATATATAAATTTCACTTATGTATTAATTTACTTTCAAACCAATCATCCAGTTGCAGTAGCTACAGTATTACAACAAATACTGATAAAGATTTTTTGTGCTCATCAGTTAGAAAATAAAGGATGTTGTCCTTTTTCGTTCAGAGCAATGGATCACACAATTTTTGTCCTTTTCATCATAGTTTGGATCATAATAATAACATCACTCATCCTACTTACCTCTAATAACCTGTCTGTCTTTCGGTTGCTCTCGTCTGCTACACCTGTGTGTTCCCTGCCATCTCCCCTCTGGATTCCATCAAGTCTCCTCTCAGGTGTCCACCCGGGCAGCTCTGTCTATCCATCCATTATTTATACTGCTTATCCTGACAAGGGTCATGGGGTGCTGGAGCCGATCCCAGCTGTCAATGGCTGAGAGGCGGGGTACACCCCGGACAGGTCGCCAGTCTATCACAGGGCCTGGAACCTTGTCTCAAGTCACTGAACAACATTTAAATGAATCAAAACTGAGAGAAAGAACTGAGAAAGGTGATGACAAGCTCAGAGGGAGATGTCAGTGTGGTTTGCTTTCTGTGTATGACTTTCTTAAACTGATGTTTCAGATGAGTTTTCAGGAGATTTCTGTGTGGTCTTGTATGAGAAGAGCTGCATCCTTCCCTCTCTCTGTGGAGTCAAGGGTGAAAAACATGGTTCACCTTCACCAATCAATGTTGCAGTGGAGCTGCGACGCCTGCCGTCACCTAGATCATGACTCACACTACACAGTCTGGTGAACAAAGCAGTGTGAAAGAGAATTTGTTTATTTGATTATTACTTGATTTTCTGGTTGCAGAGCTGCTTCTGGACGGACTGAGATGAGAGAGTGGGGGTGAGTGTAACATGTTTATCATCTGTTCCTGTTTTCAGTGTTTCTAAACAAACTTTGAGAAAATAAACTACCTCTGTAATCACAAGTTTGTCTCAGAGGAGCTTGTCTCAAAATTACTGTTATACAGCTCAGAAGTACTAACAAAAATGTCATATAAATGTCAATAAACTCACATCTTATTAAATATATAATTGCAGACCTTATTGTCTCTGCTGGTTTTTCATCATTCCTTTCCCTTGTGTCCTAAGACCCTCTGGCACAGTAATAAATATAAAAAATGTGCATACAGTATAATGAATATGCCATATGTTGCGTTTATGTTTAACATGTGTACTGGATGTTGTGTCCAGTTTGTTTGAGCCAAATAAAGAAAAGTTAAAAAGGAAAGACTCCACAAAAAGGTATATATATGGCCTGTGTAGGTGTCAACCAGTCCACTGTTTTCAAATGAAATTAAATAATAGTTCAGATGTATACATGTGGCCAAAGTTATAACTCCAGGCCATGTGCTGGACGACATGGCTGGCAGTGATGATGTCAACACCCAACCTGTGCAGCTGTGTTGTCTGACTTACAGGGTGCTCAGGCTTCTGTAGGCTACATGCCACAGGTGGTGTTTACTGTTTTCCTATTTTTTACGTTCATTACATAAAAAGTAACAGAACACTAGCATGTAAACAAAGGGCCATTTTTAATGTCTGTTTGTTGAAAGGGTTGTTTTTAGTACTTTTCACTTCAAAGATCAGCAAAACATACAGTAACCTATTTTACCCAAACGTTTTCAAGCTGCACACTGTTGCCTTAGGCTGTTGCTAGTTTGCCAGTTTTTGTAGCCTATCATTTAGGTGTCTCCCGCCCATGCTACTAACAGTTTGGGCCTATGAGTTTTTCAAACTGTAAGGGAGGAGCAGGAGAGGGATAAGGCAAATAAGTGGTGTAAAATTAAGGGACAGGTGTATGCAGGTGTTCTAAAAACAACTGGAAATTCAGGTGAAAGGGAGGCCACAGTTGTAGCCTACAGCCTAAATCAGTGGGTTGGTTATTTGATGGGTTCCAGGCTTTGGTCAGGCTACGTTTTGTCAGTCAAATCTGGCAACACTGTTCACCACCAGGTGCTGTTAATAGACTATGGCTCTAACATCAATGGGAGTCTATAGGTAGCCTACTTCATGTTGGTTTGTCAAACCTTAAACTCCAGTTTAGACTTGTATTTCATAAACACTGGGCATGTCTTCCCTGTCTCTGTTAATGTCGCTGCTGCTGCTGACGACATCCTTTACAGACAGTTTGGAAGCCTTAAATCAAACAACGCAGGTGATAAGAGAGGTTTCCCGGAGAGACACGCCGATTCTACCGTGGCCGTACCTCCACCTCCCCGAGTTTGTGGAGTCAAGTCTGCCGCTGGTGGATAAGGAGTATTTCTCTCCAGCTAAAGGCACCGGACACGAGCCTTTACCCGGGCCCGTGAGGGAGATCCTGCTCCCGGCTATGCGGCCCCGCATCCCTCCGCCCAGCGTCTCGGGAGTCGCCGTGAGGATTTTGTGCAAACTGAATAAGATGTACGTAGTGGTGCAGAAGAGCGTTTTAGGCCCCGGTGAAACGCACCATCATCTCAAACTGGGGACGTGCCATGCCAGCAAATCTACAAGGGATTACCTTCATTTTGAATATGACCTGGGCATGTGTGGAACCAAACGCACGGTGAGCTGTGCCAAGAATATTTAACAATATGGTGACTGTCTGTTGTTGGTCCACCAACTAAAATATCCAAATGTCTATTTTATTGTTTGGCACCACATTCATGACAGACTCATCTTTTCCTGCTCATCCAATATGTTGTCTTTTACCTCTAAAGCATTTTGAATAGCCTTAACCTGTATGAAAGGTGGTGACCAGACACCCCCAAACCAAGCAGTGCTCTAGAACTGAAATGATGAGTCCAATGATTAACGAATTGTCAAAATAAAATTGGACGGCAGTTTTAATAACCGATTTGTCAACAAAAAATGCTGATATTTTGTGAATTTTTGCTAGTTTTCTGTGACAGCAAACCCAACATCTGGTTTCTGACTGTTGGGTGTGAAAAAGCTATTTTAAATATGTTCCCTTGGGCTCCAGGGACTGTTTTTAAAACTATTCTAACACTTAATTCACTGAAAAAGAATTAATTATTAATCTGACTGGCTAATCATGAGGATAATTATTATGTACAGACTTGGAGTACTTCTAGGGTGGAATAAAGCATCATTGCTTGAGGTTTTCTGTTTTAATTACTTGACACAAAAAATACAAGTCATTTGATAAAACACAACTGAGCTTAATATAGACTGAAGCAGTGTTAAAACTGTCTGTACAGAACTGCCATGGCTGTAGTCTCTGTCTTTTTAAACAAGATAAATCTTTCTATGCAGGTGATTGATAACAGGGTGGCTTATTTAAACACACTGCACTATGACCCACCCAGGCTCCGAGGACCAATCAGGCGAGCTGTGCCCTTCACCCTACCTGTTGCATGTTATTACAACAGGTGAGACTGGATCCAGATGAGAAAACATTCTGCTCAGAGTTTTTATTTTAACATAGAATTTGTATATTTAAGTTTTCTTTAATATGGACAATGCTCTTATCGGTTTAGATATCAGTACTCGTATAAAATTGGCTACACACCAAGGATCCGGATGCACAAGATCTTCAGACTGATGAACAACAGAGCAAAATTCAGTCTGACACCACGAAACGGTAAAACCTGCAAAAGCATGTTCATAACTGCTCTCTGACTGCTGACTTATTTACCTTTAGGAGAACCTGGATTAGTTTGCACGAATGAGGACGGATCTTAAAGCTGCTGCTGTTCTTGTTCTTTCAGCTCAGTGGAAAAGGCTTTCTGCCTCGGATCACTATGTGCTAGGGAAGCCCATGTACTTTGAGGCTGAGGCTCCGTACCTAACCCAGGATGAAAGGCTATACGTTCACTCTTGTTACGTGACTCCTGAGAAGTCCCACACCTCCACACCTCAGTTCCTAGTTGTGGCAAACTTTGGGTAATTAACAGCTGTCTCTCACACAAACCGAATATCTTGATTTATTTTCATGCAGAATGAAAAGCACTAGCATATGTTATAGTCAGCTTTTGTTTCCTTCTCATAAAGGTGTATGGTTGAAAGCAAGGACAATCGCTCTAGATTCATCCCCTACAAAAACAATGTTGTGAGGTTCTCTGTGGATGCCTTCTTGTTTAAGGGAATGACAGGCCAGGTGAGCAAAAACATTTCTTATTGGATTTTTGTTTTTCTACAGTCCATGCTAATTTATTTTCTACAAATCATCTGGCTTGTGTTTAAATACAGTGCTAAAAGTCTAACATCTAACTTGAGCAAATCTTGACTTTGTTGTCCTGTAGCAGCTCTACATGCACTGCATCATGTTTGTGGGGGGTTGTGTCCCCTCACCTACAGCCAAGTCCTGCAACTACAACACTGAAGCAGGAAGGTTTGTGCTTTTCCCAAGAAATTGAAAAATATTTTTAAAAGGGATCAACTCTGTTTTACTTTTTCCCCCCAGATGGGTCGAGCTGTATGGACCAGACTCGGTATGCACCTGCTGTGATTCTAACTGTAGCTCTGATGCAACCACAGGTGAGTCCCTGCTTGCCTCATGCTGGACAGATTCTTTCCCCTTATTATTATTATTTACTCCTGCTGGATTAATGTCAGCTGTTTTGGAAGTAATGTTGTCTTTTTAACAAACAAAAGAGAAACTATAACCTGTTGTAGAGATTAATGTGTCTAGAAGGAACACCTCAGTGCTGAACATATTGCAGAGAAGTAGGGAAATGGTGAGAGAATTTGTTGACTGTAAGAAAGGTGGGCTATGGAAAACCAGCTCATCTTTGAAAGCAAAATGGCATATTTATTTTAATATGTTTTCCGCTGTCATCTCATTATATTTTTGAATGTGAGTGGTTGTTGCTGGCATTGTGTTGATGAATAGTCCTGGATGAGGTGGATGCTTCCTTTTTGGCAGTCTGCAGTTAGCTGATGTGAAGTTTGTTGTGTATGTTGACACGGATGCACAAGAAAGGACAACAAGGGAGAAGATATGACAACAGGAATAGCTCTTCTAGGCAAAGAGGATTTTCAAAAGTCTTCTCCAGTGCTTTGGTGTTTTTCATGGATTTTTTTTTTCTTGTTTTGTGAATTGACTTGTGACTTTAAGTGCTATATACTGTATATATTTTTAATAAAATCTTGCTTACTGCTTGAAAAGGCATGCAGAGTTTAAATATAGCTGTTCCACTGTAGGAACACTGAGCTTAATTAAGTTCTTCTCTTACTTTTACAAGTTTGAGACTTTTTGTTTGGTTGTCTTAAACCTGTTTTTGTGCACTGCAGAGAAAAATGTGATTAATGTTCTTGAACTCAGTGAGCCACCCATAGTATTTAGATGACTCATGGCTCTATAAACGTAATTTTACTCTCATTTTTGAACAAATCATATTCTAATATAAAAAAATCAACTTCACCCAGTGACCAAAATAATCAGGAGCAGACCGTGGACAATAGAGCCCAAAGTGAAACCCAGCACATCCTTCACGAGGAAGACTGTTTCCACCGTAACAAAACGAGCACCACCACGACCAGAGATGACCAGAGAGGTGACTGAATGGAGGATGACTACACAGCCTGAAGTGATAGCAGTGACTCAGATGGGTGAGGTGGAGAAGGGGCTGGAACGATTGTTCCAAGGTGGAGGAGAGGAGTGGGCTCAGGTGGAAGGTGAGGAGAGATGGGTGAAGGGCTCTGCTGTTGTGGAGGAAGAGGTGGTCACAGAACCGCTCAGGATATTTGAAGAAATCTTTGATTTTGACAAATAAATTTAATGCTCGAACAGTGAAAAATTCAGTCTGAATGGCTTTATTACACAACTCCCAATGAGCTCAAATCGATAATCTGGAGGTTATGTGTTCACCAAAATTGTTATTGGTACAAACTGCAATTTGATACTACCTGTATTTGTCACTTGCCACATTGAATCTGTATCAGTTGTTTTGTTAAAGAAATAGTTCAACATTTTTGGAAGCAAGTTATTTGATTTCTAGTGAAGATGAGATGATCATTACCACTCCTATCTAATCCTTTAATATACTGTGAAGCTCCAGTCAGCCAGTTAAATTGGCATAAACCAGTGTGTTACACAGACTAAACCAACAAGATTTCATATATTAGTAAGATTCACAGTAGGTGCTGTTTGGTGGGTTTTATTACTCTGCACGGTCAGAAGCTGTGTCGTTGTGCAAGGCTAAACTAATCAGCTGTAGCGCCATATTGAGCAGACAGGTGTGAGAGTGGCATAGTATCTAACTCTCAGCATGAACTGAATAACCATCTATCCCACAAAAAGAATAGACTTGTAAAGCATCGTGTCAATTAACAAAAAGACAATGCTTCTGTACAGAATCTGTAAATGATACAGGAGTCCATTTTCATCTATAAGCATGATTTATTAGCTTTACATAATGAGTATGCTTTATTGCTACATGGCAGTCATTCTGTACAATTTCTCTTTTACAAATGTCAGGTCATTTAATGTAATACTTGCGTTTTTGACCTATGAAGGGAAAAGAGAAGACCATTATGCTACACACACAGTATGCTGCTGCACAGACACTGCTGGTTCCATTAAAATCTGAAAAACCATTAATATATTGTCATCAGTATATTCAGAAAGATCTCAGCAGAGTAGAATACCAATCTATTCATGACGGAGTTAATTTACCCTCATGATTTGTGAAGTCTTGAAGTATCTTGACAATGATGGTATTGTAATGCCCTTATAAATTCGCAGCATCATATCACCTTAGTTTTAGGCGGGGTTTGGCTCAGGTACATCCTGAATGGAGTGTAGCACACTTGGGTTCATCTCCCATGTTATCCCTTCCGAGTGTGAAAGGTATAGTCCTCAGTAGTACGAACTCAGGTGGGAGTGAGTGGCAGGATGTCTGGTCATGGCTGAGCCAGAGTAGATGGGGCTGCTGGGGGAGTTCCAGTATGTAGTCGGAGGACCGAAAAAGTTGCCGGGGGAGACGGGCATAGGCGGAGGATGGCCACCCATGAAGTTCATTTTAGGCTGGTGGCTGTGGTAAGGCTGGACGTAAGACATCTCAGTCTGGTACTTAACAATCCCACTTTCCGCCGCATGATTCTGGTGTGCCTGCGAGATGCCTTGGAAGTCAAATTTGTAGGCGTAGCGCTTGCCATGCACCTTAGTCATGATGTTCTTGTCATAGTAGTAGCGCAGAGCACGGCTCAGCTTGTCATAGTTCATGTTGGGCTTGCTTTTGCGCTCGCCCCAGCGCTTGGCCACCTCATCAGGGTCAGTCATCTTGAACTCACCGTTGGTGCCTTCCCAGGTGATGATGGCAGCGTTGTTGCTGTCTGACAGCAGCTCCAGCAGGAACTGCCACAGCTGGATCTGCCCTGAACCTGGGAAGAGAAATGATAAGGAGGCATTTAAGAATTGAGAACTGACAAAACTAGGCATAAAATGTACACAATTACCAGTAGTAGCTGTGTGAAATGTGTTGAAGAATCTTTATTCTTTGACTTGTTAATACAGAAACATTTTGCAAGATGTAAATATGAAGGAACGAGTACCAAGTAGACCTTAAAATTAACAATAATGTTTTGAATAAAGGGGAAAAAACCTCTCCACATCTAGTTATTCCAGGACCTTGGACAGCTCCTTGATTTTTTTTTTTTCTTTTGACAAAGTACACTGGAGTTTTGATGTGGCTGTACTGCTTAACACATTAAGTCAACATGCTTGATTTATTATTATTTTTTATTCCATTTTCCAAATGTGACCTTTTCACTGTGTGACTTGGAGGAAGTGACAGACAACCTACCCACAGGCCTGTGAGCGCTGGGGTCAGGGAGCTTGTATGGACTTTGTTTGCCTGTTCGGTTCTTGGGTGAGCTGAGGGCTTGGCTTTCTGTGAGGAAACAGCAGGCAAACAGTCATTTTGGTGAGAGGGAAGCCAGATTTCATCCTGGTGTAAGTGAGCGTGATGCAGTTCTGCTGACACAACAGGTGTTGCTTGATGTCCACTTATTTTGAAAAGTAGTGTGTGCACGTGAGCCAGCCCTTGTTTGCATTTCTCTTGTGATGCCAAAGCAGACAGTGTAAAGGCCTCATTTGTGTCAGTTTTGTTGGTTTATCTTGTGGTTTAGATTCTTACCTGGGTTGGCTAGTCGACTGCTAATGGGCCCTAATGTCTGATATGGGTCTGAAAAGAAGAAAAAGCATTATTTTTATGTAATCCCTGTTGCAGATGCCAATTAAGCCCAAGCCTTAATGTTCACACTTCTCCCAAATTTAATCTCAAATTTCTTCAAGATTAAATAAAACACATTTGACATTGTATTCATTACAAGTCTCTGTTCTAGTACTTGGACAAAGTACTCATTTTTATGGAGTGAAATATTGAAATCACAGCCCACATCTCTGATGTTGGGCTCACTGACAGACAGATCGGCTAAATCTGTCACTTGATACACATGGATATTAGGTCAAAACAAGAAATCAACTAACATGAATACAATGTCAGGTTACATGAATGTCATAAAGCAGAATTGGTATTAAGGCTGGTTATCAGACTATGACATCAAAAGAACGTTTCAAAGGCTTATTGTGCATTATGTTTAGCAGCATGGCTCTAGGAATGGTAACGCAGGTCAGTCGGCCACCCGCTGAGATATCTCAACAGCTGTTTGAAGAATTGCCATGAAATTTTGTAAAGACATTTATGGTCACCAGAGGATGGTTTTAATAACTCGGAGTTTTCCTGTGGTGCCCCCATGAGGCTGACTTGTGTGGTTCTGAGTGACACAGCACTACAGCCTTTGATCAGATTGTCATGGAAATTGGTACAGGTATTTATTTCCCCCTCAAGATGTACTGTAACAACTTAGTTTAGCCTTTCATCTAAGGGCAGCATCAGGTCAAGATTTGGTCAATTCTACTAAAAACTAATGACATTCCCATCAGCCTCAGCTGTACTTTGCTAGTTAGCAAATGTTGGCATGCTGACACTCTAAAGTATACAAAATACACCTACTTGGCATCAGCAGGTTAATGTAGCATTGCCATTGTGAACATGTTAGCATTCCACTTGTTAGCATGTAGACTCTTGGTCTAGTTTTAAATAGCTCCAGAAGCATAGCGATTTTGAGGTTTTAGCATCCTCCCCAGCACAATGTTTGTACTGAGGCCTCTGCTTAAAAGTTCAAGGGATTAAACATGATATTTGGTACTAGTGGTCTTCATACCTTGCACAATTCTTGAAACAGGCTCTGTAACTCTTGTGCTGTGTTGGTGCTCCATGGAAGAACCTAAAAATCCAAAAGGGAGGTAAAAAAAATACATAGGTGAATTTGTTTGATCATCAGTTGTGGCCTAGATTTGAATTCAGTCTATTTATATACAAAGCCAGCAGTTGTTCATGCATGGAAAAAAAATGCATCATGATCATCAGTTTCATATCGGTGTCAGTTTTAGTTGTCATACCTTTAGACATGGCAGTCATGGTGTTTGTCGGCCAACTGTTTCTGCGGCTGATCTCATCAAAACTGCTCTCTGCACACACAAAATAAAAAAGGACGAGATGAGACACTCGCAGGAACATGGCATAAAAAGGCCTTGAAGTTGACACTGGGAGATGTGAGCTGTACCACGGTGGAAGTCAGTAAATTGAGACCAAGCTAAGCGTTTGGAGTTCTAAAGACGACCCGTGGTTTCTTCAGTGAGCGTTCTTTTGTTTAGGCCACCCCTGTCGCCACAAAATTGTGAATTGTCCCAGGAGCCGGACCCATACCCCACATTTCCTGTGCCGGTGCAGCTGTTTCCTGTCTGAAACTGGCTGTTGAGTTTTGGACTCAAGTTTTTTGTCAACTGAGGCCAAAGCTGTGCCACTGAACCTTTTAGACTCTTGAAACTGTACAAGACTGTTCTGAAACTCAACACATTATTCTTAAATCCATAAATCATTCAAGTAGTTTTTTTTTTTTTTTGTGACCCTGAATTCTGAGGTTTTAATTCATACCCAGACACGCTCAGACTTCGAAATACAACTAAAGGGAAATGGTATTTGAATAATGCTGAGTAAAGTTGTAAATTGTAATGGAGTGAAAATGAGTTTTCCCCACTTCTTGGTCTGTTACATCTTATATATAACCAATGTTGGAAGAAGTACGCTGATCCTTTATTTGAGTAAAAGTATACAACAATCTTAAAATCACCCTTTACAAGTATTACCTGCTAAATATAGGTGTGTTCTACCAAAATGGTCCCAGTGACTTGTATATTATGGTTAATGCTGACTCATCAATGTAGAATCAGCATTTTACTGTTATCACGTGTCAGTGGAGTTGGTTTTAATGACTTTATATACAGTTAGGTGGTTTATTCCAGCGGTCAGGCCCCTCTACAGTATCACATGATAAATGCACACTAGGCTTTGTGAGGTAGTCAGTGAGGTGGGGAAACAAGACGACCACTGTTCTGATTTACACCTGTCAGCCATAACTTTATGACCACTGACAGGTGAAGTGTCGGGTCTTGTTGCGTGTTATCGGTCTGCAGTGGTTAGTACCAACACTGGTCTAAGGAAGGACAAACGGTGAACCTACGACAAGGTCATGGTTGCCCAAGGCTCACTGATGATGACTTTGACAAACTATGAAATAAACTTTTAAATTGTGTTAATCCTTTTCAAAAGATTCCATTTATTTTGAATCCTTGTTAAATTGGTTCAAAATGAGAAATACTGTACATTGGTCTCAGATAGTGGTGATATTGCATCTAGACATTTCCCTCACTTGTCCTCACAACCACAGTTTTCACTCCTTTTACATAATTAAATTTGTATTAATATTTTGGACTTCTATAAACATTGCTTTTTTGTTTAAATTAATAATAGATGGTTTTACCTCTTTGGGCCTTGGAACAGTTATTCTGATGTAACTGTATAAGATGTTTAGAGGGAAAATCTGTTAACTGAGGACAAACATGAGCATATAGTGGAGCAGAGGCTTGAAGTAGCATAAGATGTTTAAGTGCGGTAACAAAGTAGTAAATGTGCTTGGTTTTAGGTGTGACTTTTTTTTTTTTGCTTTATATTGAATAATAATCCTGAATGCAAAGTGCCTGGAAAATACTGTGTATTTCTTTGCATGTTTACATTGAAGTCTCATTACATTTTATTAAAATACATTTATAAAATTCCAACCACAAACGCCATCGCATGTGACAAGCTCACAACTTTATTTCTGCTGTACAATTTTGTGGTGACCTCATTTTAGCCATTTTTAAGAATCACCCTCAAACTTGTCTCATTTCACAGCACTCTCACCCTCACATCCTGTCTAAACTGGGACTGTATTGGTAAAGTGTAGAAGAGAAAAGAACACCGCTGTGACTGAATAAGACAGAATCATAATTAAAGTTTAGAGACATTCTTTGTTATAAAAAGTTGTACAATTAACAAACTCATCGAAACTGCTTCCTGGTTTGATCAGGCTTCATTACCAGTGCTGGAAATGTAGGCAAACAGTCTCAACTGTCATCAGATCTTGATTTAAATGTTGCTTATCCCTGATTTGGAGCATTTAAGTGAAATAACCAGAGTAGTTGTATACTGTATCCTAGTACTGTTCATATAGGAGCCCATTGCTACAGCAAGAAGCTCGCTGAGAAAACAGGTTTTTATGGCATTTTTAATGAAAGTTTTAGAGAGGATGAAAAGAAGATCTCACCTGCTTTCACCTGTAGTCTGGGTTGTTGTGGAGGTGTGTTGTTGGTGGGAGTTGAGTACGAGAACGTCGGGCTACCTGAAGCAAAGCAGGACCAGACAGAGCCAAGATTATCTTTTTTTTTTTTTTTTATTGCTAAAAAAAAAGGCCACAGAGGTATTGCAAGGTGTTTCAGTTATTTTGTCCACATCCTCATTGAGGTTAGTGCCACAGAACAATGACAAACATTTACAATGTCAAACTCTGAGAGGCAATGAGAACCAAACAATGCTATCGACTAGAGAGGGAGATGTCTCAGCCTTACTCTGCCGGAGGTAATTGAGGTGCGAGAGCAAGATGTCTGCGTTGTAGGCCGAAGTGAGACGCATCATGTCATCCTTGGTCATCTTGCACAGGGCCTTGCCATCCAATGGCTGAAAGAGCATGACGTCCACCTCCTCCAGGACGTACTCCTTGATTGCCCAGTCCAGCCACTGTCGCACATGGTCCTGTGTCCAGACCTCGGGATCTGGCATCAGAGGGTGAAGGGAGGAGAGATGTAAAGTAATGATCATGAAAGACCCTGGCTTCATGGTGTCTCACTTTGTTATAGGACTGTGAATTATCTTGTAGCTGGTTGGAGTTTGCACCTACTATCTGAACTTGTAGACAGAGAAATGCTATACTGGCTTTGTTGGTTTAAAAAGTCACAAACAGGAAGTTGTAGAAGGTAGTCATACAGAAATGATCAGAAATGACTGTGGTCAAACTAGTAGCATTTGCATAATAGATTTCCTGTGCAGATTCTTAATCCTACACTCAGTGTTTGGCTCATTAGTTACTTCACGTGGATGTCTGAGCGTCACCAAGCAGAATGATGTATGTGCAGTGTTAGGCACATTTTCTCTGTGCTTAGCTTAAGTTTAAGACGTTAATACACAAGCATGATATTTTCCCATCTAACTCTTGACATCTCTAGTAGTTTTGAGGTCCAATATCTACAGTCCTAACCCACTGAAAACTGTGAGTAGTTTGTGGTTATACAGGAATTTGTTTGTTGCACATGAAGGAGCTGATTAACACCAGAAACTGTTTAGATATGAATATTAGCTGTGACACTTGTGATTTTGATACCGATTGTAAAATGGATGGTAGTGTGAGTGTAACCGCTTTGTGGTTTTGTCCAACTTGAAATCAGTCAAAACAGGTCCCGTGTTTGCTACCTTTTTTTTGTCATGTATATTTCTGGTTTTAAATTTACATTTAAATAATAACCATACATAAAATAATCCAGCAGATTACTCAATAATGAAAATAATGCTTAGTTGCAGCCCTAGTTTAAGGTTTTATTTTGGGTGTATGAAGGGTATTTGTTGCATGTGTAATGTGGTGGTACACAGCTGACTGCATTAAACATTTATTTATAGATAGTTTTACATAAAATTTTGCACATTTGTTGTAAGGAGATGCATTTCAATAGGTGTTTTTATTTGTTTAATTAGATAATATCATAGCAATAAAGTTCATCTGACATGTTTTATGGTTATGTTAATGCAGCTCAGCAATTAGTTAAGAATTAGGGAAATATAATCTTAGTAAATTATAAATAACTAGAAATTTTAGGATTGACATTTGCATGCTTTTTAGATTCCTCTTTATTAGAGGAGATGCTAAATTTAAGGTACTATGTTACTTTGCCTAATCATGTTATGACTGAACATGTACTTGGCTCTTCGTTTAAAAAAAAAATAAAATAAAAAAAACTTGTGGACATGACTGTTGTAGTTACTGTGCTTCTTTCTCTTGATTTGTATCTTTTTTTTTATCCCACGACTCTAACATTTTAACTGTTAATTTTAGGTTAAATATGGTCTTAATATCTTGGTACAGTATTAAAATAACTCACCAGTCTAATTCAGGAATGTAAGCCCATTTCCAGTAGAAGACAATGACTGTGTGCTGTGAATTGCCCGTAATATTGGTCAGGGGGCTTTGTCGTGAACAGAGGCCACCACACCCTCAAGTCCTGATTGTGCTTGTTTAACACGTTACTGTGATACAATATCCGTGTATTATAAAGCAGAATAACTCTGCAGTGGTGACTCAGTGCCGAAGATTGTTGGATTTGACCAAGCTGAATTTTAAATCATCCACTTCTCTGAAGTGGTGTCCCTCCAGACATTGACTCACTGAAAAATGCTGCTTTGAACTACTCATTTAATAAGTTTTAGCATGGGAACTGTGCAAGATGGAGAACAGAAGATATGTCATCAGTTTAGCTTTTGGGTAACTGGACCTGTGATTCATTCAAATAGCTGGTTGTCTAAGCCTTAACCATATGACCACTTGGATAGTAATGACACATCACCATGTTTCCTCCAGGTCGGTGGTATTCCTCTGCAGATAAACAGGGAAATCCACTGCCTTTATTTAGCTGACAGCTGACTCTTTCAGGATGAACGTTCAACAAGATGTTTAGATCGAATATGAGGTGGCTCAGCTCCATGGTTTGCTCAGCTGAAACACACAGGTGCCTTGTGCAAATAAAAGCTTTTTAACTTTGCCAACTGTGGCATTATTTGGGAGACCTTTTGGACAAATTTTACTTTCACTGTCTGTGAAACATTAACACATCTATCACGTTTGATTGTTCAAATTTATCTGACAGAGCAGTCTCCTATCTTTTAAACATGAGTCTATATATTTGATATTGTCAGCAAATCTTTATCAACTTAAACCAAAGCCCATTTGTTCCTACCTAAGATGTAAATGTTTAAAAGAGTGTCACAAATAGTTATTCTTTTATAATAGTATAATAACTACAGCTGGGGGCTGTAGTTTTTAGCAAGTGTTACTCAGGATTAAATACAGAATTTGCTGGGGCTTATTTTCTGCTGCAGATCAATATTATTTACAGCAGCAGAATGGCATCTATGAGATAAAATAAACTACAGTGTCCATGATCATTGTAATGAAGGGACATGCCAGGCAGTGCAGCAGCATAGCTGGGGATCTAAAGGAATAAGAAATGTCAGGCTTTGGATACACAGTTGGTGCTTGTTGGTAGCATCAATTCATTGTTGTTTTTATTTTTTTTCCCATTTGGAAAACTATGGCCGTTCATCCTCTGAGAATCATTGCAGATGAATGTCTGGGCTTATGAAAATCCTCTTTTCACTAATGGTGTCAAGTCCGGGTTGAAAAGGGAAGCGGGGCAATTTAAACATGAAAATGTCCACTCTGGCTCATCCCACATCTATTCCTGCTTGTTCTCTGTCTTGTTAATGTCACAGTTTTATGTACTAAAGTTACACTTTGGGCTTCAGCCTTAAATGACCCTGATGTAATGTTCAAGCAGGTGATTTCTGCAGGAGTTTGCAGAAGAAGGGTGTGATGCACAAGCACTGTGCCCTGATTCAGCTACTAATATTGCACAAGCCCATTGTGTGCTAGTTCTTGGGAAACTTTCTTGTGATGGGGACAGTCTGGTGTGAGTGATGGAGGAAGTACCCTTACGTAAGTAAAACAAGCAATACCACAGTATTAAGATACTCTGTACAATGGTATTGGCATCAAAACATGCTTAAAAGTACTCATTGAAGTGAAGCACTCATTATATAGAAAAACATAAATATGTATATCATATTATTGGATTATAATTATTGTGTACATAACTAAACGTTGCAGCTTGAAAGGGGGAACCAGTTTTAACTAGCTTATATGTATTGGTACTGCTGGAAGCTTGTGAATTGTTCACTGGAGTTCAAAAACACCATTGATGATGCTGTATTTTATATTTATTAATCTGATTCTAAAAGTAACTAGTTATCAAGTAAATGTAGTCAAGTAAAAATATTTGCCTCTAAAATTTAGTGAAGTCAAAGTATGAAGTAGCAGAAAATGAAAATACTCAAAGTACAAATGGCTCAAAATTGCAGTGTACTTGACTAAATGTACTTGGTTACTTTCTGCTACTGCTACCAACTCGTGAACGAGTCGGCTCACCTGCAGGCACGATGACCCTCTTCTCCTCTGTGGCATTGCTAGGCGGGGTGGTGGTCTGGGGACTGACACGCGGCTCCGGGTATGAGGCCTGGTATGGCATCGGGGCCCCGTCGTTGCTCATGTGTCTGGAGCGTTTGGTGACACTGCAGTCGACAGGGGATTCACGGCTAAAATGAACAGAGAGGAAGCATTTTGTAAGGAGCCGAGGACTGCTTCAATCTTTTAATGTCTTACAAAGCTTGTAAATGTTCATCAGAGTGAGTCCACTTCATTTATGCAGCTGTCACAACTATCTTTTCAAATAATGAATTACTGTGGTTATTAATCATTGGCAACTGACCATAGATTTCAGTTTCAGCAGGGTGCAAGTGCATTTCCTCTTGCAGTGTTTGCAAATATCTTTAGCTGACAAGATATAAATGTAGTCCCAAGCAACACTATTCCAGTGAAGCGTCTTGTGAAGTGTCTTATAAAGCGTAGGCTGGTAGGAGGTTTGAAATTAGCCTAGCTATATAAAGTGTTTGCTTTATGCGTCACTAAATTAAAGTGGTTTGCCCACACAAATTACTATTTAGATTAGTTGCTACCAGACTATGTTCACTCAGTTTAAAATCCATTTAGAGCTGTATTTAGGTGTGGTTATACCTGAGTTAATCTCTGAATAAAACCTCCTATGTAGCAATGATGGAAGAAGCACTCGGGTCCTTTACTTAGGCAAAAGTACCAATATAAAATTATTCACCCATCAGTGGTGATTAATAATGACATAATTATATTTGGTAAGTGAACAATAAACATATTTTTAGGGTCTGGAAAAACCCTTATCATTGACATGGACTGTAACAAAGGTACAGTCAGATAATTTGGGAACCCGTGCTCCCCTGTGGCCCAGCTGCTCCTGACTCACCTGGTTCCATTGACGTGTTCGCTCCTTTTCCCAGGGTTTTGTGCCGCTGACCCCACCCACTCTGGCTCAGTGGGCTCGGGACTCTGCTCGGAGGCCTGGCTGAACTCGCTGGGCGACATCATCTCAGCCTTCATATGCATGGCTGGGGCCGCAGGGTAGGCTGGCTCGTATATGGGCTGATCCTCACTCACCACGGACAGCGCTTCCTGTCAAACAGAGCGGCAGCGGTCAGTGTGTGCCATTAATGTGCCAGGTCACAACCTGTGGAAACTTTCACAAACAGACTTTATTCCACCTAAGAGGCTTCATTAGATATGAACAGAGGTAAAACTTCACAAGCTGTCAGCGCTGTAGGGGTTAAAACACAGTGTAAAGACTGAAGATTGATCTGAATGTTGAAATCAAAATATTTTAGTTTTTCTTCAGTGGTGGCAATTGGCTTTTTTTATTTTATTTAAATTGTTGGTGGAGAAGAGAACTTAGTACATGACACCAGTGCTGTCCCTTATGAAGCTGTGAGTTAACAAAATTATTAACCTTAGTTTGCAGAGGAATGCAGACAAATTAATAGTACCTAAAATCATATCAACAAAAATGAACATACACAATTCTTTAAGGCTAAAAGAGTTTTTCGCCAACTTTGGATAATTAGCTTGAAACTTTTAAAAAATCATTCCTGAAATGTGAAGACTAACTCTGAGAAATGATTATAAAAAAGTAAAATTAATATCTTGTTATTCAAATGCTATTTTTATTGTTAAAACTGCTTTCTTTGAATTCGGCCTGTCCTCTGTACATGCTTAGAGGTATTTTGACTTTTACTTTAGATTTTGAGAGTTTTTTTTTTCCTCTACGTCATGTCTTTCCTAGCTCTGTCAAGAGTTCAACTTCTAGTCACATTGATGTTTAAATGCTTAAAAAATCAGTGTAGTCTCCCGTGAAAACGTCAAATCAGAATTTATTTATATAGAACTTCTAGAAAACCTTGTTGACTGAAGTACCTCACACCATCAGAGAATAAATGCAGACAATATAGCATATATAGAAAAGACACCAACAATATAACATACAAAGAGGCATAATGTATGGTTGCATTATATTGTGTCAGACCACTACGAAAAGCACTCTGGAGTGAATTGGAAAGTGAGCTGCCTAATCTTTAAAGAACATCAGTAACTTTAACCACAGTTTTATTTTGTCGTTAGGATTGGGGTTGCGTGGGGAGGGGTGTTAGCTCAAGGTGGAGTCTAATCAAGATTTAGGTCCGTCTTCCTGTGTTCAGCACCTTCAACGAGGCCCCAGAACCTCCTAAGATGTCACTTACATCCCACGCACTTGGGAGAGCAAACACGGGACCTGTTGTTCTGTCTGCCGCTCGAATTAAACGTGTGCATGTGTGATGTGACCACAGCAGTGAGTGCATGTGCGTGTTTGTTTAGAGGAGTTGTGCATTGTCTTTGGGTCTTGTACGTCAGTGCTGTGCTTTTTCAGTGGCCTACAGGAAACCTGGCCGCCATGTGCAGAGGAACCTTTTGGCATAGGCCAAGGGAGAGGAAATGGTAGAGGAGGGGGGCGCAGTGAAAAAATGTGGGTCATTTTTAAGCTAGAAAACAATCCTAAAGACCTGTAATCAGGGGGAGGAGAGGGGGTTGGGCTCACTGCACAACAAGAAGAGTACAGCTTTGATTGAAGTGCCGACCTCGCATTGTTTTTCTTTATTATTATTATTTTTTTTTACTCTTTGGTCTTTTTTAGCACAATTGTTGCATGAGCATTGTTAACCGCATCCTAATGCATGGCACACAGTTGGCATTTCCTCGAGGCTGCAGAGAAACTGATACTGAAGTCTGCAGTGTGTGGGATTCCAGCAAACTGCTGCTGCTGCAGCATGGAGCCTTTGCTGCTCTGTAGTAGTGCACCCTTTTTTGAAGTAGCGTCAGCTAAACATGTCAGTTCTAAGTCTACATTTTGATTTCACTTCAAGTATGTTCTGATAATTAATGTTTTGTTAATGTGTTTAAAAAAGTTCTGATAAGTTAAGATTTGAATATGCATGATATAAAAAGCCTGGTGCTCCTATCAACAGTGTGCTATGCAGCTGAGCCAGGACCAGTTTGTACTCCATGCATTTTTCTTCTTTGTCAAAATCTAGCCACTTCTTTACCCATAATGCAAACTGACCGCCAGCAGTACATTTGGAAATTCAGTTATGCTATTTTACAGTAGTAGCACCTGATTATTGGGGTATTGGAGCCTTGAGGCTCGAGCAGAGATGAGGATCAGGCTGCTTAGGTCTCCCCAAGTGTTCTCATTTTCAAACTTGTAGTCTTGACTCATTCGATACTGACTCCAGTGATGTCACTTGAGGCAGTTAATCAGATTTGTTGCAGCTCCATCTGAAGCCAGAAAAGACTTTTTAACAACTGTTTCCCTGACTGCAGTAGGACTCCTGCTCTTTGATGTGTAAAATTGAGTGGACTTCCCCTTTAAATGTAGAACAATGTAGATGAATAAAAACAAATTATTAGTTTAGGGCTATAAATGAAGTTAGTGTCAACTTTAGGTGATGGAGATCTGAATAGGTATATTAACTACAAGCTACAATATGTTTATTAAAAACCATTTTTCATGTGTTGAGCAGGACTTCACACTGTGCTCAGCTTGTTTTTGACTGCAAGCTCTGTTTTCTTCTTCAGCTGATTGCTTCGGTTGTGTTGTCCTCTTTCCTCCAGTCATCCTCTCACACACTGGGTGCCAACAGAGGCCCTGAACTCTGCAGAAGTGAAACAGTTGCCTGAAACTGCGTTGTACAGGCTGTCAGCAGCAAATTCTCATGCATGATAGCGGTTAAAGAGGATTTTCTACTTTTTGTCTGTGATCAGCACTCAAAACTATTATTATTGTGACTCACAGCTGCTGATCACGTTCAGTTTTCAGCTTTGTACATTCAGTGAAAAGCTGACGCTCTCAAACACAAACTCCTGCTCTTTATCTTTCTTTATCTTCCCTTTGTGCACACTCTCTCTCTCTCTCTCTCTCTCTCTCTCCTCTGCACACTCATACAAATATACCAAAATGCGGTATGAACCGCTAATGCCACAACTGACTTCCTGTTCAATGTGTTCAGCCTGCTGTTGCTCAGTGACACAAAACTGCTTCTGAAAACATGACCTTCTTGAGGTTGGCGCTACCTTGTGCCTCGATGTCCTAAAATTTACACTGGTTGTGTTTAGTTTAATAGTAAACACTTTGAGCCTCTTCACTTGTAGAGAGAGCACAAACATGAAGTCTTGCATGGAAACATTTTGACGTGGCTTCATGTCAGCAGCTTTGCGGGTTGCATCATGCAGGTCTTGCCCAAACCAAGGGCTTGTTTACAACACGGATGATCATACTTCTTAAGTCTTTAAAAAAATATATATTTTGGATTCACAGTTTTATTGCAGGCAAAGGCACAATCTCCGTACAATACCGCCATGTTTGACTCCAGCTCCAATCATGTTTCTAACATGTTGAAATCACTTTTGGTAGATTATTAAAAGAGTATTACATCAGCCTGAATGAGATAATATTAGGGATTAGTCATGTTATGAACCAGACGTGGAAGGTGTTGGTAATGTTTTAAAGACAGAGGCTCTCAGTTTTAATTAAACTGGATAATACATTTTGCTCTGGATGCTAAGGATTATTTTCATTATTGATTAATTTACTGATTATTTTCTCAGCTGAACATTTGATTTGAAAATGTCAAACGGTGACGGATGGATGTGGAAAATCTTCTGGAGGCCAAGGTGACATCATCAGATGTTTAGTTTTTTCTAACCAAAAGTTGAACCCCCACCCCCACCCCCCCAAAAAAATCTGTTTTATTATCATGTAAGATGAGGAAAATCAGCACACTCACATCTGAGAAGCTGGAACCATCAAATGTTGACATTTTGGTTTGAAAGTGATTTAAATGACTAATTGATTCTGGAATATTGGCAAATTTGATGTCAGCTTATAAAGTGATGAACTGACTAACCATTTAAGATGTACTAGTAACCTACCTTAAAATCCCACCTCTTGGGGGTTGTGGGATAAATCTGAAATGATTGGTATGATTGAGAAGCTTTTTATTTTTGTTGAGATCAACTTTTTTTTTTTTTTTTTTTTTTGCTTTTTTTTCTTGTTAATGGATTATTTTATACCTCTAAGTAAATAAAAAGTAGGCTATACAAATACTTTTTGAATGAACTAGTCACAGTAAGTGGACATAGCACATGCAACTTGTGACTAGGGTTAGCCAAGAAGACTTAGCTTAAAGGGATGTTTTGGTTGATTATAAACCAAAAAGGTTATGAACCAGTGCCGCAGACTTCGGCCAAGGCTGTGGTTACCAACTAAATGTGCACAAGAAGCTAACAAAGTGACATATCTTGGAACAGTTAACATCCCTGATAAATAAATAATCCTCATTGCATTCATGCCGTTTTTGGTTACCACTCACACAGGATTTAGAATACTACATCTTCTAAAAATGGTAAAGAACATTTGTGTGTATTGTGTTTAGGAATAATTTTTCACTGCGCTCATGTTTACACTTTGCTCTACTGCAGAAAGCCTGTTACTTGAGGTATACTGTGACAAACTGATGCAGCTCCGTGTGTGGGAGGATATTTAAAAGAATTAAACCAACATTGTCACAAAATAAGGTGCAGCCTACAGTAACAGGTCGGGGATCAAGTTGTGCAAAGTCACAGCCCTTGTCGTCGCCATGTCTGAGGCAAGTGGGAGAAAGCAGAAGTAAAAGTTAAGGCAAGCTGATTTTGCAAAGGCTTGAGCAGCTGCGTTTCTGCTGCACAAACAACGATGTGGTTTTCACAGTTCGAGGCCTGAGAGCGCGCAGGTCTCTGTAGGCCGCGCACACGGAGCCAGGCCTGTTTCTCCTTCACTTCCCGGCCTGTGTCGAGCGGACAACGTAGAGTTAAACATGGCGACGCTTCAGTTTTACCAGTGCGTTTGTTTCTGGCGATGCTTTGCTCCCTTTTTGACCATTTCTTTCTGGTCCAGGGAGCGGAAATGTGTACGGAAAGTCTGGGGTTTGAGACAGGAAGCCTGCTGAGTTCAGATAACGACACCTGACAAGAGCTCCCGTTTGCAGCTATAAATTATAACCCAAAATAACCTAAAATACCCAATCTGCTGCTGAGTTCAAGAGAATTATGTGAATAATAAGTACGTTTTAGCTGCGAAAACTCCTCTAGCCTATCTAAACAGCATCCATCTTAAACGTGAAATAAAAACGTATTTTAAAGGACAAACTAAATTTATTTTCAACATCTCCAAACCTCGTTTTCTTTGTGTCATGGCGAAAATAATGCAAGTCGGTGGTGGGCATTTTAGTGTCCAACAGGCATCAACATGGGCCTAAATATATTTCTTGTAAACTGAACAGTGAATACTATATTTGTCCCTCTACCAAGGCCTATAAATGCCTTTATTCTAGTTTTACAAAAGGCCTAATAAGACATTAATGCTGGCTGAAATATCGTTATTTGTTATAATAATAAAGCATTTTTGAGAGACATTTAACATTTGGTCGATATTAGGAGAAATTTAGTTAAAAGGTTGCAGGGATGTTTTATTGCAATAATAAAAAATAAAGGCCTACAGGACGAATGTTGCATATTAAACTCGCATTGGTAAAAACAAATTCCTGTGTTTGTGGCAAACATCAGCAGATAAAAGTTTGCATTTCCTTCATTACGCAACAATCACTTTTCTTTGTGAATTTGATTAAAATGTGCGTCTTGGTTTGAATTCCTGACGTGAAGCCTTTGTTTCTGCCTTTCTTCGCAGACAAGATACAGAAACATTTAACGGGATTGTGGTGTCGCTGTAATAGTATGAAACGTGAAATACCAGTCATCTGATGGAAACGGATCCTCCTGCTCTTTGAAGCGACTCGCATTGTATCCAAATTCATCCATGGCGCCTTCAGGAACACCTGCCTTGTGCACGCCAACAAAGTTCTGTATTCCTTTACTGACTTATTCTTCTTTAAAGTAACCAATAGGCTAGCCAGTCTGCTAAGTGCTCAGTAATTGCGCTCTCCACCCGTTATTTTTGGTGTCTTGCCGTTCCGTGCATAGTGCGAGATGAGTTCGATTAAAGCAGCAATTCGGGGAAAAAGCAAACCCGTGCGTTTGGAGCTCCTCTTTTACGCGCCTAACCGGCCACCAATTAGTCTTTTTATCTGAGTGTAAAGATGTAGTGGTTAGTTGTGTTATTATAGAGCCGACATACAACCACGAACGGGAAGGAAGAGGAAATTTTGTACAAGAACGAAAGAGTGGGGAGTTCGCATCACTCGCTCAGCAGACTCAGGGCTGGTGTGGGTGGCCGCCTGTCATGTTCACCACCATCAGCAGCGTTAAAAACAAATCAAACACCTACCTTTATCGTACAGTCCATTGCAGCAGTCTCGCAATCTTTGGCATTTAGTCTTTTTGTAGATGTGACAGTTAATTTAGCCTTCTAATCTCACTTCAATTCATGCACGGGAGCATTGGTGCTATGGCGCAAACCATTGCAGTTACAATTTTTGCTCACAGACCATAACCGGATGGCAGTTTTTTCCCCTCTCTCTCGCTCTCTCTCTCTCTCTCTCGCTCTCTAAATTGGGAAGTGAAGTCACTCTTGACAAGCGTGAAGTCGTTTCTCATGAAACCAACATTCTAAATGCAAAACAAAAGCTCTTGTGTGTGTGTTTAGTGCGTAAACTCATATTTAAGGGCGCACCATGAGAAGTCAGAGCAGATAAACTTTCAGTTTTTGACACTGATCTTTAGTGTTTTGCAATAAACCACAGTGAAAATGAAAGGGGCCACCGCCTACCGAGTGCCCCTGAAGTGTCAGAACAAAAATTGCTTTCATGGTTTGTCTGAGATGGCTTGTCCTTGACAGGGGGTTTAACTACATTTTTAAAAATTACAAGATTTGTCTTTGTGCCTTAATGACATGTCGAGGGTATAAGTGGCTGAATGGCCAGGTACCAGATTGTTTACAGGTGTTTTAGTATAACCTAAAGTCAGAATTCATTAATACCTCCTTTATTCAATGTATGGGGATCAGCTGACCAGATAAAGTGAGAGAGTCCTTAGTTCTGACAAGCAGGTGTGAAAAGGTTTTATTTCACGAGATGCAAAGAGGAGGGATACATGCAGTTGAATGGGGTGAAAAATCCATATAGCACTAATAACAAAGCACCAATCAGTGTTTTATTTTACTGGACAGTGTTCAGTCACTTAACTGTGGATATCATGATTTCAGTGGGAGTTTGCAGTCACAGTTTATTTAGAGTCTTTTATGCTTAACAATGCATAAATCAGATATATTTGTCATTGTACAACAAAAGTGAATGCACTCCCTATTTGTGAATGATCTATAAAAGAAAAGTAAGATACTAAAACGGCATTAAATCACAAATCCATGAGTAAGACATTCAACGCTGGTCTGTCTTATTGCACATAATTCATATTTCACATCTATAAATTCAGGTCTTAATGGCATTTAGTACAACTATAGCTTTTGGATAAAAACAGTTTTTGAGTTTGTTTGTGATTTTACTGTCCTCTAACATCTATTGAAATGGATGCAGAACCAGCTGTATCATCTCTTTATACCACTTAGCTGTGATGGTACTGGACCTGACAGGTTGGCTGGAGAAACAGGTGTGTTGTGCTGTAATGGAGGTGGGGAGTGGGCTGCAGAGGCTCACTTCATTCTAACGTTACAGATTTTTCTGTTTCAAACTTGTAGTCTTCGGCCCTAGCTGATGCTGACTCAGGTGACATCGCCTGAGGCACTTTATGAGTGTTGATGCAGCTTCTTCTGGAGTCCTAAAAAGACCAGGCCTGGATGGAATGAGTAAAAACATTTGCCTGTGTTTTGTGTATATGTAGAAAGTCAGCCAGTACATTATCGAATATCCTATCGTTCCTCAGATTATTATGCAGTGTGCTTCGAGTAAAACAATTCTGAACAAAAATAAAAATAACCTCTTTAAACTCTTCCATAACTAAACAGTGCTGCAAAGTAACTACATTTACTGAAGTACTGCACTTCAATACAGGTTTGAGGTCATTGTTGGCTACTTCTTGAGTTTCTTCATATGTCATATTGCTCCACTTCATGTCAGATTGAAATATTGTAGTTTTTAACTTGACTAAATTTAACTTAGTGAAGTTATTAGATACAAAATCCACATTGAACAGATGAAATTCAGTGCATTGTGAAAACACAATGTAAAATTAACTAAATTGGCGTCAAATGCTGCTTGATGTATGGTTAATATACAGTATTAACGCTGACAGGAGCCATCTAATTATTAAAATAAAAAGCTAAACCCTTTAGGACTGAACATCCTACAGTTTTAAAATGGTCCACTGGGAGATTTAATGCAAACAGATTATACAAAAAGTAAAACCATGTTGCTCTCATCATTATTTTTGCCTGTCACTCATACTTTGGTAAGAGTTGACAATATTTAAAGATTAAAAGCACTGAATGATTTTTTAAAGGAAACGCAAGAACACAGCTCTTTGGTTTGAAAAAGAAATAAACAAGGGAGCACAGGTATGATTTAGGTGCTGAAAATTAGACTTATAAAAGCTTTAAATCAACTGAGATCGTTATGTTTAACGCATTAAAGGACACGTCGTCCCAAGTGCAATCAAAACCTATTTGTGGCGGATTCGGTGCCATCTGTTTAGCTGACCCACTGTCTGATTGTCCGAGGCGGATTCCTGAGCTGATAGTTCACTGCAGACGCTTCTTAGTCACTTTGTGTTGTGTAACTTTAGCCCGTTGTGTCCTTGTCTTGAGGTGGGGTTCCCAATCACGACTCACCGACGCGCACGATTTCACCCTGGCTGCACTTTTCCAGATGGAGTTGACCCTCTGTGTGTGTGTGTGTGTGTGTGTGTGTGTGTGTGTGTGTTTTCCTCCCTGTCGGAGGAGAATAGCAGAGATGTTTGTTTACACAAGGCCCTGGGCTCGGCCTTATCTGCTGCAGCCACTCACGCCGTGATTTCAGACTTTCTTCGGCGACTACTTCTGTGCTTTTTACGGGCCATTGTTTTGTCGAATGGTTTCCAAAGATACAGAGATTTTTTTTTCTTCCTCCCACCTCATTAAAAAAACCAACTGGCAATGCTCTGATTTCAAAAGCCTGCACTTCGTCCCCACCCAGGCTCAGTTATTCAGTCCCGCCTGTCAGACAATGACCGCAGCTCTCAAGCATGTTAAAGCCATTCAGCGATGGAATAAAAATACGCTGCTTGTTGTTTCTACGGCCAATTATTCAAACATAAAATCAACATTCCTGCAGTTGTGCCTTTGTAGTTCATCCTCAATAGACCTACAAATGTGGAGTTATTTTAATTGTACTTGGGCTTTAGCCCATGGCGTGAAAAGCACCACCACGAAGAGCCTGTCGGTGCCTGCGGGTTTGGCCTGGAGCTCACCCATGGTGTTTTATACTGATTTTATTAGTTATGTTGTTTTTAGGGCTGCAACTAATTATTTACTCAATCAGTTAACGGTTTTGCTGTATCAAAAAGCAGAAACCAGTGCGAAAGTGAATGTAGGGCTGCACTTACATATTTTCATTATCCATTAATCTGCTGTTTAGTCCTTTAATTTCAGTGTTCGCCTGTTCTCTGCCATTTACGCATCTGTGGAGGGACAACAAATGCAAAAAAAACCTCATTTACAGTTTTGTTTTTGGTGATTGAGCAATGACCCTGATAAATTAACTTCAAAATATAGTTGAATCTGTTGGACTCACATCGTAGACAGTGGGATTCAGTAGTAAGTCGGTGACAATGTTGTGCTGTGTGGGGCAGGATTAATCCACATTACCCACATAATACTTGTGACTGTGGTAATAGGTATGTATTTATTATCTTATGGTGTGTTTCAGTTGGATGCAAAGGTTTGGCCTACGTGGAAAATTAGGCAACTTTATAAACCTTTGAAGTGAAACTCCTGAAGCAAACGGACCTTTAAATTTAACCGTTTAGTTCAATAAAGAAATGAATGAAATAAATAGCAATTGTGACATGTGCAAAAGGTTGTTCACCAGGTCAATCAGCAGATATCTCAGCTTGTAAACACGTTTGTCTTTCTATTCTCCATTTATGAATCTTCACCCACTCCTCCTGCAGATTTCTCCAGAGATGTTCTTAGACTGTCTAAGCAGCAGGTTTAGGATCTACCCACAGATTTTCAATCATGTCCACGTCAGGGGAATGTGACAGCTGGCCTGGAAACCTCAGCTTGTGGTTCTGTTCATGATGGCTCCTGGTAGTTTGAGGTTGGCTTTGGATCACTGGCCGGTTGTAGAGCCAGTCTTGACATTTGCACCCAGAATTAGCTGATATTTAGTGGAATCCATTCTTTTCTCCATCCCTGCAACTTTCCTGCCACTGGCTGAAACACAACCCCAGCGCACAGTCGGTTTGTTGCTTTTTCCTCAATATTTTTTTTATTACAAATGATATGCCCTTGTTGTGACTTTGTCGGTGCAGTGTAGTGTCAGGGAGTGTTTTATGAATGGATGTTTAGTTGCTTTGGGCGGGGGGGGGAACGGACATTTGACGTCACGTTAAACAAATGTCAGAGCTGTTGGTCACGACGCAGAGCGGGCACGCGCCCCTCCCACCTCTCCGCTGCGGTTATAACGGGACCGGTCCGAGCGCACACTGACTACTCGGTTGTACGGAAGCCTGTAAAAGTGGGAAAGAGCGACAAATACACAGAGAGAAGGAAAAAGAGATGTACTGGGACACTATCATCAAACCTGGGGACAGAACCACAGACAGCAAAGACTCGAAGATAAAGGTGAGTTTTCACTTTTATGAAATGTTTTTCTTAGGTCTATTTGAGGATGAAGAAATAGATTTAGGAAATCATGTCCTTCATTCATAGCATCCAAGCCATGACTGTAGCATAGGTAAGCTAATCTTAAATAACGTATCACATAGAATACGGGTGAATGTTGGGTTGGCAAACAAGTAAGCCAATCACATGGAGATCTGGAAAATCTGATGGGCTTTTTCTTTATTTGACATTTGGTAACAATGATTACAGTAGCCTATATCAGTAGTTAGAATTGGCTCAATGTTTTTCTAAGTTACACTTATACTCTTGTGACTGTAAAAATATTTTTTTGGTTACAAACAAATATTTAGTAGAAGGCTTGTCATCTTTTTTTCTCAATGGTTATTGCCAACTGTCCAGGGGCCCCAGACCCCTAGGGACCCCAGAAGTCTCTGCTTTATTTCATATCATTCGGGTCTACAAAATTTGATTAATCATATTTGTTGGAAATGTGCACCACTAAAAATAATCTCTATCCTTTATTTTGTGGTTCTGCTTTTGTAGAGTGACTCATTTAGAAATCTGCTTTAAGACCTGGGCTGTTTATGATGAGCTCAGTTGCTGTAAATTAGGCCTCAACTTCTTTTATATGTAAAGTGATGAACACTCAGGAAACCCTTATTATTATTATTATTATTCCATAGCATGAGAGCTGTAAACCTGCAGCCAACAGTTATTTTCATTTGTGTGACAGCTATTTTCTCTAATAATTGATTGTTCCATTATAAAATGGCAGAAAATAGTGAAAAACAAGCAAATATTCACATTTGAGAAGCTGGTTAAAGAACATTTTTTGTTGTTCATTTAAGCAGTTAATCAAAATTGTCAGTTAATGATGACAGCTGTAATCACATGCCTCTTTGAACACAGATGGAGATTTGCCAGACTGGATACTACGCAGAAGACTTCAGGACACAGGAAGTGCCGGCTGGATTTGACTTTGCATCTTATGGTGAGTTCAGAGAATAACTCCATGATATTGCTCCATCACAAGTCAAACATCATGATGGACTTTAAACGCTGAATGATGAGTAGCCCAGGCAGAGAGGATGAAAGTTTTGTTTTTTTTATGTTGTGCAATCTGTTTCCTCTGAACCTGAGCAGCTGAAGAACAGAGGAAATGGTTTTGCAAATGGTATCATCGCGTCTGTCAGAGCTTTCTCAATGAGACCTTGACACCAGGGGTTCTCGTTCAAACAGGGCCAGCGTCAGGATAACAGGGTGCTGCTGCTGCGTGTGTGTGTGTGTGTGTGTGTGTGTGTGTGTGTAAGTTGAATGAGCTGAGGAAGGCAAAAGCAGAAAGAAACAGGGTGGCCAGGATAAAGACACCCTCCACACTTCACTCCCCTCTCTGTCCTCCCTAATCCTTTCCTCCAGACTTCCCCCTCCAACAGATTTAGAGTCCCCCCCTGCCCATCCCTCCATCACTACTCTGTCACACTCCCCCTCCACCAGCATTTCCTCCTCTCTCTCTTCCTCCCCCTCCCTCACTTGTTTCCTTCTCATAGCGGCTTCCATCCATTGAGTTTAGGCTTGAGTGCCTGGTGCTGATTCGACAGTAAACAAATGGCTTTTTCTGGAGTCCGCTGAAAAACTGTTGAGTCTGAAATGCTTCATATCTTCCTCTTGACTTTTCTGCAGTGCTCATTAACTTCCCTACTTAAAGGACCATACCAATATTTACATCAAATTCCCACCTTTAAGGCAGCCTCTGGTTTCAGATTACTTCAGTATAACAAAAAAAATCAATTTGCATGGACTTGAAACTTGCTCAAAATGCTGTAAAAAAGTTTTTTCTTGTAATTTAGCCATGAGCAGCAGCTGGTTAAAAAGATTCTGTGATGTTTCAATATTCAGTATTTGAGACCACGCTGTTAAAAAAAATCAGTTCACTCAAGTTTTGTTTTTTGTAAGAAAATCAAACTAAAAATGTAATCAAACATGGACACCCTAAAAAGATTGTGTTTAAAAATGTTGTTGTGCAGCAACTGACTCTCGTGTCTCAAATGTCTGACTTTCTCCATAGCACCTAAATGCATCAAAAGCGAAGGGTTTTTAGAACTGGCCTCTCACAGCTGAACTACCACATGATGGTAACAGCCAAAAAGTAATTAAATCAGGTGGAAAATGGTTCGGTGTATTTAAAGAAAGTCACTGCAAGTGAAATTTCATATCATGCTGAAACCAACAGCTGTCCAGTGGTGGTGGGGGAAAGGTTTGTTGGAAAACGTAACCATGCATGTAGGACAAACCTACTGGTATGGTCTTCTGTGAGCATGAACTGTGCCTCTAGCCTGCCTGCATCATCACTCACTCACGCCGTCCTCCTCCTCCTCCCTATCCTCCTCCTCCTCCTCCAGACTACCCTGGTGAAGATCTGTGTTTTCTGTTAGACAGTAAAGCACCTGGACAGCAGCAGTTTCCAGCAGAAAGCAGCTACCCACTCCCACCAAAAGCTCCTCATTCTTATGACACCAAAGGTGAAACCTCAGAATACAAAACAGCATACTCTTATGGTTGCTAAATCAAAATCACCAACAAGATATGACTCTTTATCTCATATTTGCTCATTTTTCCCTCAGTGAGTGCCAGTGACGCTGCCTTCTTCAACCTGGACTCGTACCCAGAGTTCAACTGGTGGGCCTCATACCCACATGGTGAGCCCCTAACTATGTAATCTACTCATGCTGTATGTAAAGTAGCTTTTTTTAAGGAATTTGATTTTGTGACTAATGTTTTTATGAGCAGATGGCCTGATTGACCAATCACACCCTGGATACCAGGAGTCTCCTCAGACATACCACAGCCTTGTGCACCAGAACGGACAGTTCAGCCCAGCCATGGAGGGCAGCCACAGCCCCTTTCTGACTGGGAAAGACTCAAACGCATTACAAAGTAACTAATTTCACTAATGCATATTAAAACAGTCTCCCAGTGGTCTGATGTTGCAGCTCAGTGTGTAATTCCTCTTTGCTCCAGGTGAGGCAGACCAGAGCTACTATGACTCTGAGGGACAGAGGCAGTCTTCATCCTTCTGGCCTGAATACCCATCTCCCACCTTCACAGCTGCTCTACAGCACCCACCAGCTCCCTCCTGCCCCTCAAACCCCAGCCCTCAGTCCTCAGAGCAGTACTGCCCTCGTGTGGCCAAGCGTAAAAACACAGCCCCCCAGAGACCAGAGGGGGCAATGACGGGAATGTCAGCTTATCCAGGTTAGAATAATCTCTTATGTCTTTATAGGATAAGAAGTCAATACAAGTTTAGATAAATTATAATCAAATCCCAGTTGGAGTTAAGAAGTGCATGATGATAAAGATTTGAGATTTTGTATGTAATAAGGCATTAACCTGCAGTGTAATGTTGTAATCATTCATGTAAACTGAAGGGAAGAGCAAAATTAGAGGTGTATCTGTAATTTTGTCTTCACCAGCTACATACATGAGAAGGTCTGAATATTAGGAACACCTCTGAATATAATGTAGTCCAGTACAACGCCACCTTTAACTGTGACCTCAATAATAAACATGTAATTGAATTTTTACATTTAGGACAATTTTACCATAAAATGAAACATTTTGAGCTTCATAAACAGATGTTAAGGCGGAAGCATTGCACTGAATTGCATGCAATTGTATAGGTGTACCTAAAAATGTGGCCGGTGTGTGTATACAATAAAAGTATAACACTCACAGGGGCTGTTTATTAAACAGATGTTTTTTTCCTGATAATACGTCTATAATAGGAATTTTTATACAGGACATCTACTTGTAATGGAGTATTTTTACACTACTTTAACCTAAGTAAAAGGATCTGTTTTTTCCACCACTGATTATTACTGGTTAATAAACATATTTACCTTCTGTACGCAAATTAAACAATGTCTTTATTCACTTATTCTTTCAGGTTCTGGTCCAATCCAGCTGTGGCAGTTTTTACTGGAGCTTCTTCTGGACTCTGCCTGTCGTACCTTCATCTCCTGGACTGGTGACGGCTGGGAATTTAAGATGTCCGACCCCACAGAGGTAAGGAAATATCTTGTTTGGCCTAGGGCGGCCACAGATTACTACAGTGTAGTAGTGGAAAGTAACTAAATACATTTGCTTAAATTCTGTGTTTAAGTACAATGTTTTGGTACTTTGAGTATTTCCATTTAGGCTATTTTAAAATTCTAGTCCCCTACATTTCAGAGAGAAATGGCGAGCATCTCATCGTCCTTAGATTGGGTACCACTGTGCTGATCTAATGAACTATATATAAAGTGGTTAAAACTACTTCCTCTTCGACCAGCTATAGAATGAATAGTCTTACTTTTGATACTAACAGTACATTTAGCTTTACTCAAATAGGATTTAAGCAGGGCTTTCAATTGTGCTAGAGTATTTTTACACATCATATTTGTGCTGTTACCTAAGTAAAGGATCTGAGTATTTCTTCCACTGCTACATGGAGGTTTATGCAGTGTTTTTCTGAGGTATAAATGCACCAACGTTCAACTCAAAGTGGTTTTTGTTGATCCCACAGGTGGCGAAGCGCTGGGGCCAGTGCAAGAACAAACCAAAGATGAACTACGAGAAGTTGAGCCGGGGCTTGCGTTACTATTACCACAAGAACATCATCCACAAGACAGCGGGTAAACGCTACGTCTACCGCTTTGTCTGTGATGTGCAGGGCATGCTGGGAAAGACGGCGCAGGAGGTCCTGACCAGTCTGAATGTTTTGCCTACGAACACAGAGTCATGGCAGTGCCCTGGGGTGCAGACAGCGGTGACGTCCGAGCACAGCAGTGAAACATGGATGTCGCAGTAGGGAATGGGTGCAGAGAGAGAGAGAAAGAGAGAGAGAACATTTTTTTACAGAGTACTACAGCCTACAAAGTGAACACTGCCTCTTCAAGCCTTGGCTGAACTTAAAGACAATATGTAACTTTTTATTCCAGCACCTGACTATAGACCTCGGAATCTAACTGCAGCACGGCAACTAAACAAGGGCATTTTAAGCACTACATTATAAATAGATACTTGTAATATTTAGGGCTGTGCTTTCATTTGATGTGTTTAAGAAGGAACTGATTTTGTAAATAGTGTTTATATGAACCCATAACTCGTTTCTACCTCTGTTGCTGATCAGCATAAACTGGGATGATTTTCAGGCACTCACTGTGAATGTTTTAGCCTGTGTGATGATTGTTCTGTGTAAATAAATTGTATACAACCACAGATTTTTTTTGTGCAGTCTCACTCCATACAAGTTGATTAATTCTTGGTAAAATTTTAGGTTTGTGCATTTAATTTTCTTCTTGCCAAAAGTGTTTGTATTTTTAAACTTTATATGTTAAAGCTTTACAAATGAGATAATGTTTCAAAAAGGGCTACACTAATAAAAAAAAGTCAGTCTTAAAATTTTTTCAATATGAACAAATATATTGTTTAAATTAATCTTGGTAGATTTGGTGTTGCCCCAGTGGTGTACTACTAATGGTCTACTGTAGGTAATTAGATTATTCCAGTTACTAAATCAATTTATGCGAAGCTGCTGCATGTTACAATATTTTCTCTGAACGATTTATTATAGGATCGTTATTTTAATTATCTCAGAGGTATGAATGCATGTTTGTCCCATGACATACAGTACTGTAGGTGTGCAGGCTACTCTAATTCCGTGTCTAATGCTGCCTTCAAGTGCTGCTCCTAAGTGTAGGTTATACATCAGAATTGGTTACGGTAAGAATTACAAGTAGACTATTTCCACATATTCTGTTATTCCCATGCAGTTTTCAATTTGTGTAGAATGGAGACTTCAGTTCTCTGTGCCTAGATGTTAACGCATTTGGTTCAACAACACTCCCATGGTCAGCCCTTTCTGAGTTGGCAAAATGTTTGTGTTTGGGATCATTTTTTTAGGCCTAACTGGTTAATTGTTTAGTTTTTGAAACTCAAAATATAGCCATGCAAAACCAGATGAGCATCACAGCTTTGCGGTTTCGAGGGTTATGATGCCTTCAGGTGTCCCGTGTAGTTTGACTAAAGGCTTAGAAACCCATAGTGATATGAAATATGACAGACAGCAACAAATCGTCCTACATGAAAGGCGGAAATCTGCAACTAGCCTATGTCATTTTTCCACTGGTCCCTTTCGGACAGTAAGACAAAATTACCTTGGAACAGGAAACATAAGAACATAAAATACAGCAAACGCTGTCCTGACATAGAAGAGCAAAGCGAATCCTTCAAACTATAAACATACCTTTAGTAGCCTAAATAAATTAGCCTACAAGTAAATAAGGCATAGGCCTATCTAAATATTTGTTCTTGTTAGTTTACGTAAGGCTGGTAGCAGGTGAAGTTACACTGGCCACTTTGCTTTTGTGTTCTTTAAATCGTAGAACCCACCTGTAGCCTACCTGCTGTAGGTATTTGCCGCTCCCTGCTGGATTCCGGGCAGCTTATGATTCCGTTATTTTTCGGTGACAATTAATGCCTCATCTTCCTGCACGCGAGCATAGCGAAGGTCAGGGGAGAAATTAGACTTCCTGCGATCCAAACGGCAATTTCACATCTCTCTGGAGGTGACAGGCTAAGAAATGTCCCACAAAACTATTAAAATGGCTTTAGTGGAATCACTGGAGGACCTGACAGAGCGGGATTTAGAAAAGTTCCGCCACCAGCTTCTGGACCGCAGAGAGGAGCCGCGGGTCCGACGGAGAGCTGTGGAGGGTAAAAGCTTATTAGACCTCACGGACGTCCTGGTTTCAACCTTCACTGAGGAAGGAGCTCTTCCGGTGGTTGTGCAGATATTGCAACAGATTGGCTGCAACGAGGAGGCGCAGAAACTCGGTGAGATTACTGTTGGCCACTGGTTACAGGCTGCTGAGGGTTTCCGCGGTTCCACTGGATTAGACAATGTACAGTAGATATGTTGGGGAGAGTGGTATTAAATCTGCTGGTAAACAGACAATTTAATTCGTTTATAGAAAACGTCTCTCGGACATCTTAAACGGCAAAACGGAGTACTGCCTGCCAAACTTACTTTCACTTTTACACAGCCCGCCCGCAGGAGCAAGATTTTCTTAAATCATATTTTAATGGGAGCAGAGTCTGCGCACAACAGCTTGATAACAATATGTCACGCAACTAATCTATTTAACATAATTCTGTTTTTTGTTTTTACAGTTCGAGTGACATCTGGAAACCGTTAAGCACCGGTCGTGGGAGTGAGTTGACTGTCTTTCCTGTAAGCACGGAAGCTGTAGACGTGTAAGAGTTTATGCTATGTAAAAATGAAGCTACAAATGTTAGCTCGTTTGGAGCCATCATCAGGGAAAATGGTGCACGTTGCTTTATTAGGAACCTTTTCATAGCACGTTTAAACTTCCTACAAGACACTAATATTAAAATGATAAGAAAAAATGTCAAAAGCTTCTGTCTCAACTGAGATCTTCACTATAGAGGAGGTGTAGTTCCAACAGCAAAATGACCATGTTCCACCACTGCATGATGGTGTTCTCTTTCTCCTCAGGAAAACACAACAGGTGTGCTCTCTTCAAGCAAGTGATTGTTACACCATAATGGATGAAATCAAACCATCAATGTTTTGTATTTTGTCATCCATAATAAAAATGATCATTATTATCAATATCGTCATTTGAAACACTGTATGTTTTCATAACCATGCATTTCTATATAGGACATAGGTAGAGTTTTAGTGATAAAAAAAAAAACAGGCAGGTCTTCACTGAGATGACCTCGAGATTTATGTGACTGTTTAACTTTATCTTTACCCAGGCCATAACACATGATTTCACCTGTTGATGCATTTTTAAATAACTTTACCAGAAAGAAGCTGGCATTGCATATGTCCTAAGAACATTATTCATATTTATCAATTAAGCAAATATAAGAAATTAGCAGGTGTAGGTCAAAGCGTTTATTTTCATACACAGTCAGGAAACGTGATACCATGTACAATGAAATTCTTACTTTGCTAATCTAAGGCATTTTAAAACAGCAAATGAAAGAAGTATAATAAAAAAAATATATATATAATTATATAAAGGAGAGGGCAGCACGGTGGCACAGTGGTTAGCGCCGTTGCCTCACAGCGAGAAGGTTCCGGGTTCGGGCCCCACCTCGGACCTTTCTGTGTGGAGTTTGCATGTTCTCCCCGTGCTTGCGTGGGTTCTCTCCGGGTGCTCCGGCTTCGTCCCACAGTCCAAAGAGATGCAGCTTAAGTTGACTGGCGACTCTAAATTGCCCATAGGTCATGAGTGTGTGTTGTCGTTTGTGTTCGTGTCAGCCCTATGATAGACTGGCGACCTGTCCAGGGTGTACCAACCCCTGCAAGAATAAGTGATATAGATAATACTAATAATAGATAATCAACTGCGACAGGTTGTAGCCCTAGGACTCTGTGTCACACTTGGCCTGAATGGTGTTTTGTGTATATAGTCCTGATTTGTTGTAAAGTTGTGTTTTATAAAAACTGCATCCAATTTTTCTCTGGCAAATAACTGATTGTTCAGTGTCTAAAATGTCATAGTCCTAGAAGGACAGGCCTTACCAAGCACCAGAGAGAAAAGGGGTTTGTCACCAACAAGACAGAGGGGAGACATGTCATCCTTCAGCTCCTATTCTGCTTCCTCTGTCTGGACCTGGAGGGGAGGCAGAAAACAATGGAGTGAGCTGGGGTATTAGAGGCACTTTTAAAGGGGTTCTCCACCAACTGCACCTCAGCTTCTTGACATTCAGTGTAAACTTTATTGTCACCAAGAGTAAATATATATTATAGAGGGGAGGTAGATCAAAGAAGAAACTGTTTGAACTGGAAAACAAACAGCACATCTGTGTATAAGAAGGCCCGCAGCAGACTATTTTTTGAGGAAGCTGAGGTCCTTCAATGTGTGCAATAAGATGCTGGAAATGTTTTATCAGTCTGTCGTTGCTAGTGCCTTGTACTCCTCAGTGGTTTGCTGGGGGAGTAGTATTGCAGCCAGGGACTCCGATAGATTTAACAGGCTAATTAGGAGGGCTGGCTCTGTCATTGGCTGTGAACAGGAATCATTTGAGGCAGTGATGGAGAGGAGGTCATTGAACAAGCTGTTATCAATTATGGATAACCCTGACCATCCTCTCCGATTTGTGCTTGATAGACAGCGGAGCTCCTTCTCTAAAAGATTTAGACAGCTTCGTTGCTGTAAAGCAGGTTATAGGAAATCTTTCCTGCCTTACTCCATTAATTTGTACAACACATCATCTTGGAGCATTAGACGATTCCTGGATTGACTATCTACCTATCTATCCATCTATGACAGCTAAAATGTCAAGACAATTCATGAGGCAAAGTTTCTTCAGCAACCCTGCTGTAATATTAATACTACGCTGTACACAGGACAAAGGTCTTCAGCAACTTATAGCTCTCTACATCCACAAATAGTCTTTAAGACACTACAACTGAACTTTTCCTAAATATAATACCTTGAGGTACAGGCACGCTGGGCTCTGCTCCTCTGGACCCGTTTCCTTTTGGCTGCTCCACGGCCAGAGTTGGTGGTTCGCCTTTTGGTAGCAGTGGCAGCCTTTTTCTGGTCCCGCTGCAAAATGTACTTGATAGCATCCTCCATTTTGGATCCTGGAGTGCAGGTTGACTTCATGCTCCGGAGGAAATTGACATAGCTGTGTACAAAGTGAAGAGTGGTGGCTTTTAATGTCTTCTGTCACACTAACACCAAGATCTGCTGCAATTCACTTATCTTCAGTTGTCATAGTTCTGTCATACCTAACTTTTACAGCATCCTGTGACTCATACAGATCCTGCAGCGTCTCGCTTTTATATTTCCCAAAGTCAAGAAGTGCCTTTCCTTTTTGGCGTGGCTGGAGGGATCTGTCTTTGGCTTTGGCGTATGCAGGTTTTAATCGGACTTGTTGCTCAATCTCAGTGTAAGCAATCGCATATTGAGTCAAGGAATCCTTTGAAAGAAAAAAAAATTTACATGATTGGTGTGGTCATGATTTTACCTCTGTACCGAATTAAACCAGCACATCTATTGAGTTTAATTCTAACTTTTTGTAATGTTAGTGCACTAGCAATAACCAAATTGTTCTACTGCATCGACAAATTCACTCATTAGTCACCTAACGCTAGCTTCAGACTGCCTTTCAGTTTATCCCAACCAGGCATCTGTAGTTCATGCCATAGCTTCAGGAAACAGAATGAGATGAGGAAAGAGAGGATGTGACTTTGTTTTGAGTCTCAGACTCTCTAGCAGCTGAAAAGAAATTATGTAGAGTAGCTTTAAGTCTTCCAGTCTGCCCGACAACATCCGACACCACAAATACATAATATTTCATACAGTTACAAGTACAATTTACAATCTGTATACCAGGTAAACTGACTATTTCTACAGCAGCTGAAATGTGAACGCCCTAAAGATTTATTACTACAATGTTTTTGTTCCATGCAAGTCCACACGTGAACAAAAAGCTGGCTACATAGGTGACACCAAATAATAATAATTAATATGTTACAATGTTAACCCATGGTTTAAGTGTAGAATTACATAAAGCTTTTACGTCATTTCCTTCACTGCCTCTCAGTAGTACCTTGTTGGCCATCAGCGGACTCTCAGATGATGAGCATTTCAGTCTCTCCAGGTGGTTTGCCACTATATAGACTGCGTAGCTCAAATCATTCTCCAATAGCCATTTGAAGCATTGGCCATAGTACTGGCCAAACTGAATCTTATATCTGCTCAAAACGAGCCTGTCATTATCAGGGTCTCCACCCTCAGAGAGAACAAGGGCCTTTGCTTCAGCCTCCACCTCTTTAGGCTTCTTCACTGCAGGAGGGCATCCATGTCGACCAGCTCTGAAAAGCCTCCGGCTGGCGGCACGGTTCCGAGCCTCCTGTGTCCGGGTTAGATCCAACTTCCCATCTGAGGTCTTACGGAAGGTAGGGTCACCTGTCTAACGAAGATCAACAAAAATGAAAACAAATATAAAACACAAATGTGAGTTTTCCTTTTAATGATCAGCAACATGCTCAAGAGAATCTCTGAATTTCACTGGGTGAAGTGAAACTTACATCCAAGCAGGCTTTGGTTTTTGAATCTGTAGAAACAAATAACATGATGGTGAAAAGTGAATAAAAGATAGGCCTAACCGACATCACTTAGAACCGCAACTAACGATTAAAGATTAATATACCCGTTAACTTCTCAGTCTGTCAACCCTTTGGTCTAGACAGTGTCACAAAAATGCCAATAATATCTTGTAACACAAAGTGATTTCGTTAAGGTCACTTCATAACACAGCATATGAGAGGTGAGTTTCTGCTCCTCTCACGGAGCTGGTCGCCCGCCGGTTACTGCTGAGCTCAGACCGCATCCGCACCCATTCACTCCAAAAAGGGGACAAATCTGCATGTATTTCATTTTTATCTTAAACCGCAACCTAACATCCCAATGAACTAAAGAACAATGACTATCCCCCCCCACCCCCAAGTAGAAATTATTTATTCCTAATTCCCCCCAAGTAGAAATTATTTATTCCTAATTACAGTTAGGCCTATGTAACAAGGATTATAACTGAAAATTCATATGTAAATATCAACAAATCAGTGGGCTTAATTAAATAAAGATATGCAGTACACCTGTAGGACCTTTCTAGAACATTCCCCCACTGCCCAGAAATCCGCCCCGCTCCCTCACGCTTTGCTTCATAAAGCCGGATTAGCTATTAACAGTTCACATTTACTATGCACAATCGTATGTGCTGACACCTTTCAATGAATTTCTTTAATACTACAGAAAGATTAAAACCCGAATGATTTCTTTGGAAGTTATGACGGGGTTCATAACCATCAGTCTTATTGCACATTATCTCTAAATTCCGAGATGTTCCCCGTATTTATAAGATAGTAGGCCAAGTCATATAATTACGTCCATTTAATAAAACAATGCAGCCAGGTGACCTCAGCATTGTAAACATGCACCAGGCGCAACCTGATTTCTATTATAAGTGCGCAGCGCTGAACTCACCCAGTCTCTCCGCCATCTCGTTGCAGTTAATCTGCCTCAGGACCTCCATGGCCACTTTCGGGGCTTGGGACTTTGTGGAGGCTGAAACTACGAGGTCTGTAATCTCCAAGCGATTTTTACCCTCCACATCCACGCTCAGCACCTCCCTGCGGTCCCGCAGCCGGTGACAAAAGCGATCAAAGTCATTCTTACTGAGATCCTCCAGCACTTCCAGTATAGCTGCTTCGATTGTTCTGCGCACCATTTCCCGACCTACAGCGTTTCGTCTTTGCTCAATTTAAATTGTACGCCAAACTACTACGGTGGCCGACACGGTCACAACCACGCAAGACACAGACGCGGAACTGAAACACATGTGGAACACATGTGTCTTGCATGTGTTGTGTCTTTTGCTTGTGTTGTGACCGTATCTGGCACCGTATTTATCGGCCTGGTGTGTTGAAACGGAGGAACAGGTACCGTGTGAAACTAGTTAGCTTACCAGTAAGGCAGGATGAGTTTAACTCAGTTTGTTTACCAGTAAGGCAGGATGAGTTTAACTCAGTTTGTTTACCAGTAAGGCTGGATGAGTTTAATTCCTTTTCTGTTTTCCCCAGTGACCACCTAGGTCTATTGCTTATTGAATTTAATATAAACACCTTAATTTTAAGATCTTCATCTAATAATCTCTGGCACTGTGCCTTAATTTTGTTCCAAATTAAAGATTTCATTTCAATTTTACTTATTGAATGCAGCAATTATTTACTTGACTTGCTTAAAATCCCTGTTTACCAAGTTGGTCTGTGTTTCATACATTTATTCCTAATCTGACAATTCCATATAAAAAAAATCAGTACGTCATAATATCTTCATAAACGCTCCAGGGCTGCACTGCCACACATTAAGACCAATGCTCATCTTTAATAATGTCTTCTTGGATTTTCTACATAATAAATTCTATCTACCTACCTAAAAACTACATATAAGTGGTATATAGACCTACATACATATACAGTATTAAATCTGCTCAGACTTGACTTTTGTCAGGAAACAGACATTATACACATTATGTTGCACAACCCAAGTGCTGTGTTGGTTTGTTCTGACTTCCCCAGAGGCCAAGCTGTGCACAGACTCATCACTGTGTTTGATGAGGCCACTGACTGTTGTGTCATTACCAACTTTCACAAGTTTTTCAGAGGTACAGTTGTGAAAGTTGATCTGAGGTGAAGTGGGTTAGGGGTGTGAATGTGGGCTTATGTATTAACTTACTGGAGTTATCAGGCATTTGATGGTTCTCCACATTATGGGGGGATGGTTGTTGTGTCTTTTGCTTGTGTTGTGACCGTATCGGCCACCGTATTTATCAGCCTGGTGTGTTGAAACCGGAGGAACAGGTACCGTGTGAAACTAGTTAGCTTACCAGTAAGGCAGGATGAGTTTAACTCAGTTTGTTTACCAGTAAGGCAGGATGAGTTTAATTCCTTTTCTGTTTTCCCCAGTGACCACCTAGGCCTATTGCTTATTGAATTTAATATAAACACCTTAATTTTAAGATCTTCATCTAATAATCTCTGGCACTGTGCCTTAATTTTGTTCCAAATTAAAGATTTCATTTCAATTTTACTTATTGAATGCAGCAATTATTTACTTGACTTGCTTAAAATCCCTGTTTACCAAGTTGGTCTGTGTTTCATACATTTATTCCTAATCTGACAATTCCATATAAAAAAAATCAGTACGTCATAATATCTTCATAAACGCTCCAGGGCTGCACTACCACACATTAAGACCAATGCTCATCTTTAATAATGTCTTCTTGGATTTTCTACATAATAAATTCTATCTACCTACCTAAAAACTACATATAGGTGTCTTCTTGGATTTTCTACATAAATTCTACCTACCTAAAAACTACATATAGGTGGTATATAGACCTACATACATATACAGTATTAAATCTGCTCAGACTTGACTTTTGTCAGGAAACAGACATTATACACATTATGTTGCACAACCCAAGTGCTGTGTTGGTTTGTTCTGACTTCCCCAGAGGCCAAGCTGTGCACAGACTCATCACTGTGTTTGATGAGGCCACTGACTGTTGTGTCATTACCAACTTTCACAAGTTTTTCAGAGGTACAGTTGTGAAAGTTGATCTGAGGTGAAGTGGGTTAGGGGTGTGAATGTGGGCTTATGTATTAACTTACTGGAGTTATCAGTCATCTGATGGTTCTCCACATTATGGGGGGATGGTTTGGGGATCCTCTCCCTCCCCTTTCCACAGCAATGCAGGGTTGTTGACTGAAAATATTATTAATAGTTTAGCTTCTAACTACTGTTAGGTATGTTTAGTCAGATAGATATTGGTTAGATACTTGATGTATTAGAAATGTTTAGACTAGACAGGATGTCTAGCTCAGGCTGTTAAATGCTTAGACATTCTCATGAGTTGCTGCAGGTTGCTTATGGTCAAGGATAACTAGATAGAAAGTTGATGACTGTCAGCAGACAGGATGTTTAATATTATTATTATGACATGTATAACTGTAGCCTTAGCCATAATATGTTCTTATGTTTAATGTCATGACATGTCACTAGAGGTCGTGTTAGAATGTTTTTAGTTACACACCACATAATCAACAGACATTCTCATATTGATTTTCTTCATGCTTTGACTACTGCTCTGGCCAGCTGCAAAGCTGGCACCGGGAGATGCCACGGCTTGGCGTCTCTCTCAGAGTAGAATGGGGTTAGCCCGAAGTGATATAATGTATAGGCCTGTTGTGGTTCAAGGTCTTTCATCTTTCAGCTGCGTGCGTGCATGTTGGAGGTGCAAGATACCTGAGCGTGTATTGTTAATTTTTACCTGTGTTCATTGAATAAATCAGCACTGTTTTGAAGTTACTTGGACTGCCTCGTCTTTCAGAGTTAGCATGGTACAAGAACCGGAAGACTTCAAAATGGTGCCGTGACCTTGTGAGCCTGCTACATTCTCCAGACAACCGGTCCATAGTGCTGAACCAGCAGACCTGCTGTAAGCCTGTGCCAGGCTGAGCTGAGAATCTGATATTCGGTCCTATTTTGGCTGAGATGTTCCAGACGAGAGAGTGACTCCCTGGGTCTCTGTTGAGCTGTGTTGCCGTCCCACACATCAAACTAGGTCGACCAGAAACGAGGTAAGCAGGAACCTTTGTTTAAACATAAACTCCTGCACATTGAACTT